CTCAACCTATTTTTTTTTTATTTTTCATAATTTATAATGCAAAAAATGTAAAAATTATCTGATGAAAACGTGATTATTATTTTCACAATTCTGATTTTTTTTTATTTTTGAGTACCAGAGGTTTGAAAGCACCGTCAATGTAATAAAGCAGTCTCTCACCCACGCCATGAATACAAAAACTCTAACATGACACTTCAGCGTTCTCTTAAACTTCATTACAACCGTCATTAGTTCAACTTATTGACATCATTATGAACACTCAACGTTGCTCTTTTAGTTTCTGAACAAATTAAACATTCGATAATTTCCTAGATTGGAATTTAATGCTTTATTTTTCAACCTACGAGTAACTGAACAAGCAGCATATTTATAAGTTTATAAAGTGTAAATAGAAAATTTTTCACAATATTAGAGAAAAAAGGTGTTGTTTGTATCTCAAATGATGTTTAAAATTTTCGTTAGCAAATATACAGGATGCGCCAGAACTCGCGCCCTAGAGGAAAATGCCATATAAGGTAAGATACCAGGAACATGGCAAAAATGTTAAAAAAAAATTATCTATAAAAAATTCGAAGTTATGAGGTTTTAAAGTTTGCACTTTGACTTTATTTATTTCTGTTGGAAAAATAATTATCCAAGTTTTTTTGTTATAGACTATTAAAAGAGGAAACAAGGAAGCTGTATCCTAAATTGTAACTCTGAACCCAGGTTATTTGTGGCTTTTATTGGCAAAATTTTTGTCCCTTTACTAAATAATTGTAAAAAAAAACATATACAAGATCATCAGTATCATTAAATAGATATAAAAAAATTTCAATTGTCAAAATTTTTTGACAGATAGAATTTTTTAAACATTTTTTTCTTGTTCTTGGTATCGTACAGTGAAGGACAGTGAATTTCGTCCACCCAATTTCTGTGAATTCACAAAAATTCACTGTAGTCTGTGCTTTATTGTCATGATAACTGACATTCAAATACGTATTGTCAAATTTAATCAAATTCGAACATAATAAAATAAAAATTCTGGTACAAGAACGTATGTCTCAAAGACGTGGCTCTATACTTTTGGACATACCAAGGACTACCACAATTACCACTACAAATGACAAAGGTAAAAAGTAGCAAGAAGCATCGAGCATTCTGTCAACATGACAAACGTTAATCAAAATTCTGAAACGAGGTTAGGAAAACCTAAAGACTAATTTACACTTTTAATCTGTCAGGGAAATTGGGTGGACGAAATTCACTGTCCATCACTGTACCATACTTGAAAATTTTCTCTGGGGCGTTAGTTCTGGCGCAGCCTGTATATCCCACTCTAAAAAAATTAATGAATTAACGTAAAGATTATTGTAAAAGTTGTAAGCATTGTGATTGGACAGTTTAAGGTCGGCCATTATAAAGATGTAAAAAACCAATCACTTTTGATTTTTGAGTTCATTCAAAATTTAATGCAATGATTTGATTGGTCCGTTTGAGGGCGGCCATTATAACAACGTGATAAGCCAATCACTTTAGACTGGTTCGTTAATTCGATCTGCATTTTCATTCATTTAGTTAATACTTATTATTTTTAATGAAACTGTTATGTGTGTGCCCTTTATGCGCTCTGGGCTTTCTATTGTTACTATTGTGAGTACTTTATACTATACTGTGAGGGAGAATTTGCCCCTTTCGTTTCGTTTTACTAAATACCTAGTGGAAAATAAGACATTAAACTTTAAAATAGAAAGAGGAATGTTAGTGTTTTATCCATCCTGTGTGCTTAAAAACAACATAAATTGGTGACAAAGATACGAAAGTGAAAGGTTTCTTCAAAGTTGAACATTTTCATATAAGAAGTAAAACATAACCACACTTTCTTGGAGAGAGGTATGTACGAAAATACGATTTTCTACAAGTAACTGAGGCCTACATTACAATTTGCAATCTACAACCAACATTTCCTCACAATCAGTTTTGTGGTGAACTTGGAATTTAGGCACCATAATGCAAAGTAAAACAACAAAACTGTTTTTTTTTTTTAAATTGCAATATTTGCTAGCGCATATAGCTATACAAAATGGTCAATTTTTTTTTAATTTTTATAGGGCTTGAATTACGATTGTTATGATGATATAAGGGGTATGAATATTAGCTTCAAAACAGTTTTCCCCATTAAAAATGAAATTACAAGTGACCTACGTGGCGGTAAGATGTACGTCACTAGCTCTGCGTTTCTTTAATCGCATTTAAAAAAAAATAAAAAATACGTACAAATAAGTAGCGAGAGAACAAAGCTGTTTACAAATTTTAAAAAGAGATAGCGATTTGGTACGTCTTTGGAATTATTAATTGATCCACACGCATAAATTAAAAGAACGAACTTACAATTTTGGTGTCCCAATCATCTCAGAGGACCGAGAACTTCTAATATGTTTATTTCCTAACTACCCTTACAAAACAGTCCTGAAGTAAAAAATGTTGTTCTTGACAACCCATTTTTGAACCTTTATTGACTAGACTAGATAAAAAAATTCTAAAATTATGCCAAACAAATGCGAATTATTTTGATACAACGACGCAGCTTCTTATTGCTTGGCAAAATAAAAACGCGATACTTTGGGATTATTTATTTTACGTTCTTCGTTTATGAAGTTGGGTTTGCGCTTGGAATATGAAAGTGTATAAAGAATTTATTGTAAATTGGACATTTTAACATCAATCATAAATGTCAGGATTTATTCTATTTGCAAGAAAATTTTTTAGTCCTAAATATTTTATTTGAGAAAAGTTTTTAAAATAAAAATCGATCAAAGTTGGGATTATAGTGGTGAAACATAAAGAAGAAAAATATCGTGGGTTCTAAAATGAGATTCTTTTACAGTCAACAAAAAGAACAGTGGTAGGCGGAACTGAAAAATATCTTTGATCTCATCTCAATATTTAATACATTTGACTCGTCCAATAAAAGTTTTATGAAACTACGATTTTAGTACCGTATGTGGTGATGTGACAAAACATGAAGTTATTGACAACATACTGAATAATACCAATTTCATCTCTTATTATAAAGTTTAGTATTGCATAAAATGTTACTAGTGAAATTGTAGCAATATAAGTTAATGAATGAATTACTCCAATGCACTTTAATATTAATAATTTGATAATTTAATACTGAGATGTCGTTGAAACCAATAATATTAAATCAATCCGAAATTCTGTAAAAACGCTCTGCCACACCTAAAAATAGAAATTCTGAATAAGAATCATAGGTACATTATTCCTGGGATTGTAATCACATTTTGCCCACTTTTCTCGATCAATTATGAAACGGCTATTGTCCCGCATTTGTTATTCAACAACAATTGTTAAGTCACACTATAATCAAAGTTGTGTTCTAAATAGAGTTTGCAGGCAATAAATTAAAAGCTGGATTAAAAAAAAAACTCATACAATTTTGTAATTATGCATTTTAGTAAAAAAGTCTATCCTTGAACCTTGAATATTTTGTATTTGATTCCCTAGTATGTTTTGTAACAAAATATTTGTTTGGCACTGTGCCTGTCATACTGTATGTGCAGAGTATACAAACACGACGACGTGTACCGACTTAAATGTCACGAAGGTAGATTTCTTTATAAAAATTAATTTGTAAGATTTGTAAGATTAATTTGTAATTCAATGTAAAATTGAACTTTTTTCAAAGTTCGTTACTCATTAACTGAAAGTTCAATTCAAATTATCCAATTTTCTACTAATAACCGCCACTTTTCAAAGAAAGCATAAGTTTGTTCATACCTACCACAAAAATCAGAGAAACAACAAAAGAATACACCTTAAAAACTGTATTCTGATTGATGTTTTATTGTTTAAGTGGGTATTAAATTTGAGTCATTTTTAAAAACCTTACATTTTATAACTTTACATGTGAATCGATAAGTGTAAAATTGGTACATTAACCGTAAATACTGAATACTGCATCGTAAAAATGTAGACACGATGTGGTCATAAATATATTACTCTCTAACTTTTCAGTTTTAAACAAACGGTGATCAATTATGGTGGATGCGCCGGGAGAAACTTTATAAACTCTTCATCATCGCAATTTGGAATTGAGCTCATTAAAAAATAACAAATTGAGAACAACATTTTCCTCTAGAAATTCATTAAACAAATATGTCACACTTAATGATCTTACTCCATCACCTTAAATTACCCCTCAATGTGTTTTTCCCCGCGACAAATCTTGAATGTCGTCAGCAAGTGCATTCCCTTGTGATTTGCATTCCCATCTCTGAATCTTTATTATGCATCCGTGTTTTATTCAACAACCACATAGCATCGATTCCAAAACCTAAATAAAGCTCGGAAAGCTCTTCTGACACCTGATAAATAGTTGGTACGACCTCGGCTTTCATACTCCTTGTTTCTACTAACCCACATGCGGGGTATCTTACAAGGTCATTGCTGCAATGTCTAGACAACATCAACCAAGATACATTATTTGCCTTGCACACACTATTATTAACCCATTTGCAAATATCGATTATAATACACCAACTGATACGACTTCTCTTTGCATAAATGCGATTAAACTAAACCGATTTTGTGTATTGGAATTTTTTTTTTGTTGAGGTGAAGTTTAAAGGACAACAAGGTCGACGAACGCTAAAGTTAAGCTTCACAATCGGCAAAAATGAAAAATATATCAAAAGTTTTGTCATGGTTTACTAAGTGACAAATGGATCTACAAAGTCAACTTTTACGAGTCTTTAAAGAGTGTTTAAATCAAACATTGACTCGTTTCACTTGTTTGTAGCGTGTAGACATGCTACAAACTTTGCACTTTTTCAAGTCCACAAAAACAAATTGGCCTGCCGCCATTTTGGGTCATGGGAGTTCCCTAATGGTAAAATTAATTCTCCCTTAAATTAAATTACTTCCCTCTGCATCGTCTCACTTTTTAAATTTTCATTTCATTGTTTTTTCCAGCGCAAAAGTTTCGAGGAAAACCTTACGTTGCGAATTCGATCTCCTGATGATGTTTTCTAGAAATGTGTTTTGTGGGGCGACAAGGCCCCTTCTTCCTCCCGGCATTTTTGGTTTCTTCAAAAGAGCAAAGTTTTGCCTGTCATCTTGTCGTAACTGACATTGTGGTTAGTCTTTTACGATTCGTTGCGATTCAAAGAAGCCATAATCACACTAGCCGGAGTCTAAATGCCGTAACTTACGCACCATGTTATTTTTTTTCGGGGACACAAAAGTCGCACGTGCATGCTTTAAACACTAGACCGGCACTCTCGTACATATTTCCATATCTGGGTGAAAACAAGACAAATTCCGATGCTTATCACTACATTTTTAAACTTTCCTTCTTTGATTTTGTTTAAGATTTTCTTGATTTTTGCGAGCACGAAGTGAACATATTTGCACGATATGTTCCATTATACTGGCGATATAAACACGGTGCCGACCGAATATCGCCACTGAATAAACGAAAAATCGAAAACGACTTGAGCGCCAGGCGTCAGGACGCAACGGCTTCTTTTCGTACTACAGATCGGATTTTGAAGTAAGATGGGTAGATAAAAACGGACGCTTGTTATCTGCTTACTCAAACTTTGATTGTTTTTGACAATTCTGTTTCGGCTGATCACATCAGGACAATCCACTCCAGACAAACAGCTTTCAACTGACTTGAAATATATGAAATTAACTCTCAAGGACGACTTCGAGCTAAATCAACGCGGTTTTGCGTTATTGGCGTTTAGTTTAAGTAGAAAGAACCAAAATAAAGAAATCAATTTATCTAAATATCTTAAAGCATATGCGATTTTGCTTCTATTTATTTATTTTTTTGTTCAGACTCATCTCTAATAATTTGTCAAATTTTATATACTCAATAATTTTTTCGACTCTGTCAAGAACAGGCACAGTCAATGAATGTATTTATATAATTTTTCATCTATTATTTTCTAAATTGTTTTAAATCTTGCGTTTATAAAGTCTCATGAAAAATGAGTTTAAACAATTTTGAAGCGTTTATTGTGTAACAATTTCATACAATCTAAATAAAAAAATGACCACTTAAAAATAAATAAATAGACCTACTTCTCCGCCGCATAATAAATATGTTTCATGTTAGTGAAAATATCTTATTAACACGTTCCATTCATACAAGATTTCTGCAACATTTTCCTAATTTCATCCACTAGTTGCGTACGTGGAACTTCCACTTCATTCCTTGAGGTCACCTCTCGTAATTTAACAACACCCCTCTGAATTTCTGATTCGCCCAAAATAATCGCTAGAGGAATACCGTATTCTTCACAGTGTTGCAACTGTGCTAACAGTTTTGGATTTTTCTTGTACGAATGCTCAACCTGAAAAACACAATAATTATAAAATCAAACCCAAACTCATATTCTCTTACTTTAAATCCTTCATTCCATAAATGGTTACAGAGTTTCATTCTCTCCTCAACCAGATTTTTCTGAGCTGACGCAATGTAAACTTGAACTTCGGTAGTTCGGATTTTTTTATTCGCGGCTGCATATTTTGCTTCAAGGACGGCAAAAATGCGCTCGATACCGATAGAAACGCCGACACAGGGAACCTGTTTGTGTTTGGAGTCAAACATGCTGACGAGGTTGTCGTATCTGCCACCCCCAGCCACGGAACCGACTGAGAATTCAGAGTCGCCACCTGCATCACCTTGAAATGCACCAGTAGTGTTTTTTTAACTTTTTTGCAGTTATATACCTGTTAAAACAGCCTCGTAGATAATTCCGGTGTAGTAATCCAGACCTCTGGCTAGGCTGAGATCGAAAGAAATTTTCTCGGAAATGCCATAAAAGGTGCAATAGTGCAAGATTAATTTCATTGCTTCCAAACCATCAACCGCTGATTTACTCTTAAGCAACCTTTCATCTTTTAATAATTTCTCAACTAGGTCTTCTTTACCATTCAATTGGACATATTCACCAATTAGGTCAGCAACGCTCTCTTCTAGTCCTTTTTCCTCAACCATTTCTTTTTTTACTTCATTCCAAGGTGACTAAATCGATAATTAGTCACGTATTTCAAATGAAAGTGTTTCAATTTAAAACTTTCTAAATTACCAACCTTATCCAATTTATCCACAGCTGAGCAAATCGACCGAAATTTATCCTTCGGTACGCCACAAGCCTCAAACAATCCATCCAAAAGCAACCGGTGATTCAATTTTATAATAAACTGATCCATTCCTAACACTTTTAAAATTTCATAGACGATTTTTACACATTCAGTGTCAGGGATCATGGGGTCATAAGCACCGGCTATATCAAAATCCTAAAATTCGGCCCAATTATTGGGGTTAATTGGATTCGAGATAGACCTACGCATTGATAAAATTCTCTATAGCGGCCTCTAGCTATCGAAGGATTATCTCTGCGGTATACTTTAGCAATGTGGTAACGCTTTATGTTCGTGATTTTGTTCATTGCCAGATATCGGGCAAAAGGAACGGTCAAGTCGTAGCGGAGCGAAAGGATTTCGCCGCCTTGGTCTTTTAAATCATAGATTAATTTCGAATCTTCGCCGTATTTACCCGTTAATACTTCCTGAAGCCGTAACAAATTAATTTGCAAGAAATATTTATAAAATTACATAATCTTTCAAGCGAAATCAGATTATGTTGAATGAGTACATGATATTAAGACACACCTCCAGCATCAAGGTCATCACGTGATCCCGTTATACTCACTTTCAGCTCAAAAATGGGCGTATCAATGGTCTCTGCTCCGTGTTTCTTGAATACTGATATGATTTTGTCAAGAACAGAGTTCCTTAAGGCCATCTGTTCCGGAGAAAAATCTCTGGTCCCCTTTGGTGTCTTGAGAATGAATTTCTGCGGACCAGCTGCTGGAGATTCATCCTCGTTCAGTTTGGCTTTTAACTCTAGTAACTTACTAACTTCTTCAGCGATCTGTGAAAGAAATAAACAGTAGATAACACACAATCGCTCGTTAAATGCTGAACTAGTTTGCTAATTGCACCTACTTCAGCATTCACCTCGAGCTTATCTTCAGGATTTGAAAAGGTCGAGGTCAAATGCATGCAAATTGTGCGACTATTTAACCGGTATTGGGAGAAAAAAGAAATAAAAATGCACTGACCTGTGGTCGGAAACTTGGAGAAGAGGTGCATAAAAATTTGGTAAGTCCCACAGGCCGTGACAAGCGACAAATAGAGCGAAACATGTTGAGGCAACCAAATCAACACTTCAAAAGACAGAAAAGGCAATTACCTGCACATCCAGATAAATATCGATTATGTTTTTCAAGTGATTTAATTTCTGATGAGGAAATTTGCGCTTTTCCGCATTGGAAAAACTCGCAATATGAGCGTGCCATCGGTTGAGATGGGGGTACATTTTATAATAATGGTTTGAAACTAGTTGAAATAATTCCCCGTCGGCAGTCGTGGGGCTATATCCTGAGACATAGCTGCGACTCGAAAAATAATCATTAAGGGCCTCATAGTGCTTTTCGGTTAGTTTTGTATGAAAAGGTGAAAACCCATTCTGGCCCTGGAGGAATTCAAACCTTTCATAATGTGAGGCTAAACTTTTCTAAAACTACTCGGACATAAACCGCGAATAACCTCAATACTCATAAATTAGAAAATGCGTATTAACGGTTTGTTATTGGCGCTTTATCACTTATCAATGATGTAATTATTTCAACTTACCTTTTCTTTGCTTTCTTTGGCAGCTTTGTATTTTCTCACAATTTCACCCTGTACTTTGATTTGTTCTTCCAAGATTTGCTTATTCGACATTGCACTATTTTTTAAAAACTTAAATATGATTCAAGTAATTAACAATAATTAACTCTTAACTGAATTTAACTGAAAACATGTGCTTCGCTGTCACTTCGAAAGTAATCTGATGAAATCTGACGTTAGTGTTTTTGTGCATCGGTTTAGTGTTTTTTGTTGGTAGTTGAAAGGCGCGAAACTTGAATGTTTGAAGTTGCGTAAGTCTTATCACAATCTCTTAATTTTTTGCGATTACAATAAAAAAATAGGTTGGGTTATAAAAACTCGTAATGTTTTCGCACTTTTATTAATCTAAATAAATAAACAATGTAAAGTTCAATGAAATGACTGGTTACTCTATTATGTTTATTACGCTAATTACGTTAAATTACACACAACGTACTAAAATATCAAATGTAAGAAGATTTGTATTGAGAACTAATAATAAATATTAATGTCAAGCATGAAACAAATTGAAAATGTAATGGTAAAACGTTGAACATTTAGAGAAAACGGCAGTGTTGAGTACGATTCAAGCCCACCTACACAGTAGTAGTTTTTAAAATTTATCAATTTAATTGGACATTTGAGCTTAAGTTTTGAATTACCTACTACACATCACGACCTTACTTGAATCTTATTATTTTTCTCGACAATTTAAAATGGAAATAAATACATTATGTTTTTAAAATATATACATTTAATATGAGTATATATTTCTCCAATATCTAGCTCTAGCTATAACATTACTTATAAATATGTAATATTAATGTTATATAATATCTTCTTACGGTGATATAACACAGATTTCACAAGACAGTAATGTAGTACATGTAAAATTTTGATGAGAACAATGACTGATTCAATAACTTAGTGCTAATTTTTACTTACAATGGAATCACATTTTTAACGATTATTTGCATTTTCATGATCTAATTCGAGACCTTGTATAGATTTCAATTTTTTGTTCTAATAAACATTGTACCAAACAATTGGTCATTTACTTATTATAATATAAACTGATTCAGAAATAAGTTTTACCCACCTTTGTGGGTAAAGTAAACTCTATAATCATTCAAAGGGAATGAGATAAATAAAAAACTAAGGTCGTAGGTATGTGTTAAGTCTTTTGGTTTAACATTCAGTTTTCGGTGGTCCACAAAAATTACAAGCAGTACATTTCAATAACTATAGAACTAGTGATGTGGCGGTACAAAAGTGACAAAGAAAATAATCTCATTTTGCCTGTGAATATATCTATAAATGTTTATTTGTTGTTTATTATTCTCCCTTGAACAAAAATCACATAAAATTTCCACATTTCCACCAATATGGTTTGTTTGTTATATACACACATATACCAACATCTAACTAGACTACAATTCAATATTATTAGTAGCGCTCACTTGAAATGTATATAAAAATGTTGGAATTACATATTTTAAACTTCTAGAGTGTAATTTCGAGAAAAATGTATGGATAGATACTCTCCCCTCGTCATTACTGATCATCTATGTATACACTAAAACAGTTATTCAGAAACACTGATCTAATGTTGGATGGGTCTGTTCCGAGTAACAAAACGTCTACGGGTTCATCTAAGTACTTTGGTTTTTTTATTACAAACATGTGCGTATAACAAGGGAGCAAAACTCCCAAAAATAAATCGTGTGAACTAGTTTTCTAGCAACTAAATAACAATGAGAAAATGAAGTGAAAAGCCTAAAGTGTAACGCATAAATAAAGTATATACAAAACAAACAGAAAATAAAATTTGCTATTCCAATAAACTATAATAAATAAAACAAAAATTTTGCTTACTTTAGATGAGCAAAACGATCAGACTTATATCTTAAAGGGAGTGTGTTTGTTAGCTGATCCCTCGAAAAAACATAAATGCTTTAAGTACTTATTATTCAAGTCTCGCTTTGTAACTAGTTTTCCAAATTTCGGCTAATGTGACGGCTGAATGGAATCTATGGAAAATGCAAAGTGGTAATGTGAAACGCTGGACGATAGCCCAAGCTAAGAATCCATAAAACTTTAATTGTACAGGATTTGCTTTCACTTTCTGCATCTCGAAAGTGTAAATTATCCACATGGTAACATTACAAATGAGCAGAAAAGTGACCACTTGTCGGCCCGGTTTTGAACGATCGTGTTCCGGAAGATGGACGCGACGGCGCGAAACGTCAGCGATAAACAGCAACTGGAGAATCACCTTCAACATAACAACATTATACCACAATTTTTTTAAAGTCCTTTTTCGTACCTGGAGCACTGAGAGGATTCCGGTAATCATGACTAACAAATTGGATTCGTTGGTGAAGGCGTTCATGTGTCCCGCAATGACACTGAACACCGCATAGATGAACAAACCGAAAGCAGAGACGCGCAGGAGGATGTCATTGAGATCACTTTGTTCTTCAGTTTTAAATTTGAGAGATTGTACCCTGTAATTGAGTCGTGTAGACCTTAGGTGCATTCTTTGATGTGTGTGAAATGAATGATGAGCGCCAAACAAAAACAAAGCATGAAATGAAGAGGCAAATTAGTGCGCAATAAAAAGCTTGATCTTGAGATATCGAGACACTCACCTTATAAATCCAATAATTATAGCAATAATGCTGAGCACCATAAGAACACAATGAGACACATCCGCGAGATAGATTGCGAGAAGTTTGAAGTGAGACTGATGGATGAGCACGAAGAAAAGGATCAGACATATCAGAGACCCGACTAGAAGGAGAAGTCCAAAAAATAAGCCTTTGGAAGCCCCTACGCAATCGACGCGGCCTTGTTGGGCATGAGCCAAAGCGACGGCTCTTCTTGAAAGCATCACTTCAAGACGGTGTTCTAAGTCTTCTTGGGTGACATATCTGGAAAAACTGAGTCATTCTGGATGTTGCAAAACGACCCAAGGTACCTTGGGTTCCTTCCGATGTGTTTCCACATGACGTAAATCACCGCAGCCCCGATAAGCGAATACTCAATGATAAAAGGGAACAAATAAGGTGCAGAATCTTGAACTATTGATCCCATTATATTCACTCGGCCACAACTTAGAGGACTCACATCCGTGCCATTAGAAGCATTTAAAGCTTTCAGCGCTTGAGGTATAATATCTTCCATGAATTCCGTTCCGTTATTAATGGCATTCGACGGCTCTTCCGCCACTAAAAATCCCCCCAAAACAATTAAAAACCCTTCAAAGGCAACAAAGCGTACCGTTAACCACATTGTTAGTATCAAAGTTATTGAAACTTCGAAAATCAAAAAAGCTTCGGTGAGCGGTTGTGGTTGTCGTTGCAAGGGTTGTTGTTATAGCTCTCCAGAATCTGGTAGTTGCAGTTGTTGTTGTTGTGGGGGTAGTAGTGGGAGTAGTTTGAATTAATCGCCACAAAGTTGTTGGTATGATGCTTGTAGGAGTTGTGAACACACCTTACATGCGGAAATTGTTAGTAACTGTTAGTAGAAAAGGGGAAAACATGCAATTTTAGGTGACTTACGTCTAGCGCTGGTGGTTGTTGGCAGCGTGGTAGCTAAACTACTTAACGTAGTCGCAGCAGTGCTAGTGGTAACTCTAGCAAGATTTCTCAGTGTTGATGTAACTACAGGTGCTGTTGTAACAGCAGCAGCTGTTGTTGTTATAATATCTGGCACTGCAACGTGACTTCCTAGCACTGTATTTGCGTTACGCAAGTTGTGCATACGAATACTATCTGCAATTATATACAAAAGCAGCTTAATGACCGCTGAAGCATTGTAGCATTTTGTTTTAGATATGTTCGTAAGTGCTCTTGTGGAAAAATCAACAAAAAACTTACCTGTAAAGTTAAGAGTCGAGTTGAATTCGTCTTTATGGTAGATGGTAATCTCCTTAAGATATTCAAGCACAAGAGTCCGAATCCAGACACAAATATTTGTTGCAACAACATGCATTAAACCGAAACGTGCTATGACTTTAAATCGATGAATGTTTAACTGAAATAATTTAAAAATTTGTTAGAATCCAATTCATTTCTATTTCTTTTCGTTTGATTTAAAAATGCTTTTTGATAATTTAAGTAGATATTTTTACGTCAACATTATGTAAATCACTTATTTCTTCTGCAGAAGGAACAATCAATTAAAAGTGTTTATGAGTATTTAATAAATCAATGCCTTGATTAAATTATGATTACCTAATTCTTAAATTATTCTAATTAGTGCAAGCTTAAATTTTAATGCGTAGTATGTGCAATTTCGAGTAAATAGAATTGGAAAACATCTTGAGACCTATCCAAGTTCAAAAATTACCTATTGTGACATTATTTTGTTTTGTTATATTTTTTTTAATTAATTAAGCCTTTAAATACAAACTAGTTTTCAAGCGTTAAATGCCAAAAAACATAAATTAGTTCCATCTGTATGAATTTCTCTCATATTTATAAATTTCTGCGTAAATGAACTTTTCTAGAAGTATAATAATAATTGTTTATCAATTAGTAATAATACTACAAAATGGCTACAAAAACATTTCTACAAAAGGTGCAGGGTGCAAATAAAATTCAAAATAATTGAAAATGGTAACAAAAACCATGTTACTTGAAAAACACCAAGATTTTAGTTTGTGTTGCCATCGACAGAGCAAAATTTTGACCTGACACCTATATGTATAAAATGTTGGTGAGAAATTTCTGACAAATGTAAACTTACCCTCGAATTCATAAAAATAAAATACATTTGCATAAAAGTGAAGATCATCTGAAGAACAGGATTGACCCCTCGCAAAATCATGTAACAAGGAGAAGTGAATGGCACTTCGAAAAAGGTTCCGAATTCCAGTCCGTTATAAATCATGGTACCCAGGCCGAAAGCTGTAACAATATTTATGATTATTTTCTTTAGTTTTCGATAAATCTCACCGATGGCGCCGATTCTGAGGAAGAAACTGCCGTGACTTTGGTCATTTTGCGTCGTCTTCCTCTTTTTCTTGCATTTAGTGACAGTTCCGGCCTCCACGTCGGCATTGTTAGACGACGGCGCCGGCGTTGGAGGGACCGGTGGTTGTGGTGTCGCAGGAGGTGGCACCGCAGGTGCAGCAGGAGTAGTTTGTTCCTGCGAGACAACAGGGGCGTCAGATTGTGCACTGATTTCAGCCACAGGCACCGGCACTGCAGCCAAACCTGCGTCAACCACCCCTTCGGAGTTGCGCCGGTATGTGCTCTACCCCCACAAAACCAAATAAAATAATGAATAAACGAAACGAGTGTGCGACATGTTTGTGCGTGTAAGTTTCGATGGGAATTTTATTTTGTTTTATGGTAGTATCAGCGGAAAAAGGATGTGATCGACAGCTACGCATCCAGCACTAAAAGTTCTACTTAAGAACCAGTTGAGTGACTTTCCAACACCACTTCACATACTTTTCCTCAACACAGATAAGAAGGGGAAGCTTAAATAAAAAGATTTCATGCTAAGGACAACACAAAAAGTGCGACAAGCAACTTTTTATGATGTTGAAGGGACGAAAAGCCAATTGTAGGAAGAGGAAGGATAGTTGACTAGGCACCAACCTTCGCTCACCTGGTGAGTTGGGGATGTTGCCTTCTGCTGGACCATGTCACGCATCTTACGTGGAAATCTCTCCCTCTACACGCACAACATGCTCAACAACGCAAAATAACTCAAACTTAATAAATAAAGTTAAACAGAAAAACAATTAAACACAAAATTGTTAATTGAAATTAAACGTAAATTAAAGTCAAAAAAGACCACCCCTTCATGTTTACTCACAAATAAGTTATTCGCCTTTCAGGCGCTATAACTTATTCGTGATTGAAATGTTATTCAAACAGTCTAGACGTGATGAAAAGAAAATTACCTTTTCCTGTTTTTTGCTCTTCTTATCTTTATCCTTCTCTTTCTCTTTCTCCTTCTCCTTTTCTTTTTCCTTCTCTTTTTCCTTTTTCTCTTTTTTAAGACGCTCTTTTTCCTCTTTCTTTTTCTTTTCCTCCTCTTTTTTCTTTTCTTTTTCTTTCTCTTTGGTTTTTTCTTTGGGTGGTTTTTTCACTTTCTCTTTCTTCTCACCCTCTGAGCAACACGTACTCTCTTGTAATAGAAAACAGAAGACGTAGAGAAGAAACAATATACTCATACCGTAAAGGTATGTAAAGAAACCTTCGTAGTAATAAAGGGGGATATTGTGAGTTACTACATCTGATATTACGTATGCTATACACACAACAACCAAAAGTTTCGCATACACAAAACTCATGATTATGAACAAGGAAGTCCTGAAAAAAAACACAGTATAAACCTTCGTGGAGACAAAATTCTTACTATATTCTTCATAGTGTATTATTAGTGTTGGCATTGAAATTACATTAGATTCAGACTGGGAAAGTTATTCAAAATATTATTAAAACCGTCAACGTGAAAAGTGGTGTCATCAGTGTGCGTGTTTACTTCCAACGCAAAATGTTTAATTACCATAAGCAAGTAATGATAGTAATCAATATTCAAACATTTATGACATGAATACTCCATAAATCATTTTAGCTAGCATTCTGCCAATTTACTTGAATTAATTTTTCCAAAAAGCCTTTTAAAACTAACGTTTGTTTTGATATTCGTCTCAACCAAGCGTTGTAAAAGCTGATGCCTGAAAATACGTACCGAGGTTTATCGGAAACGAAAAGCTCAAACATTGTGAATTCACTCTGACTAACACTACTGCACTAATTTTCTAAAAATAATCGCGGAATTTCAGATTATAGTAGGGTCAACAGTGCTCCCACTCTGCCTTCTGGCAGTCTTGTTATGTTGTATATTCCAGACCTGGTCTTTTACGATAACATTATGGTCATTATGCTAAGAAGGCTTCAACAAGCCTTTCAGCTACACAAACAATGCTGAATTACGCTTGGCAAAACATTGTTCGACCAGAAGTTGTTTCAGTTTTTATTATAGAAGAATGACATCATGCTTTCAAAATTAAGCAAAACTAGCACAAGGCATTTTTAAAAATATAAATTACAGCTACTTAAAGAGCCTTACTACTTAAAAAAAATTAGAAAAAAAACTATTTTTCAGTTTTCAGTTGTCGATTAAAAATATCAACAAAACTTTTTTCAAAAAAGGACTAAAAAACAACGGCATTATCAAGAAAAAGATGTTCTAGGATTTGTTTATAAAAAAACCCAAAAGTAAATCAAATTAATATATCAATTTGGATAGTCTGGTGATTTGTTTTTATGAAAACAAGGAGAATACTTGAGGGAGAATTTCTTAACATCTGAATCAATAAAGTTCATATTTAAGATGGCTTCGTGAAAAAACAAGATAATTTCTTTGTTACATTATTTGCAGCTCCTTTAGTCATTGATTTGGTATCCATTGCAGCATACGAAAAATACGAAAACAAAATGAGATAAAATTACAGATAATTTACTGCATATTTTTGTTTTTCATTAGGAAAAAACTAATCGTAACTCGAGCCTGGCAGCCATCATTATAATGAATGAGCTATGTAATATCAAGTGTTTGTCATTAACCTCAAGTTCTTTATGTTACGATTTGTAAAATTTTCTACCGTCGAATGTTGATATTATCGATCAAATTATTTCCTTATTGACTCGTTTATTTCTGAAAACACACCAGGAACTGGCGGTTTGTATTGTCTGAGTGTTTCAAAGCGTTTCGAGCAGTTATTAATTAGAATAACATTTTCCAAGCAGATTTTCTTAAAAATAAAAGGGCTTTTCACCTCAAAACAGCAAAGTTTGAGAGAACCTCACGAAAGGATTTGAGGCATTGTTTGTGTGAATACCTTTTGTCTGGCTTGGGTTGAACCTTTTTGAGTTCCATTTCTTTGTTGGCGGCATTATTTTTTTCAGCAGCAGAATCACTTCCGCCGTGGGCCCGTGATACCGGAAGTGTCGCCATATTGTCGACAGACTCCACCTCAACAGTGGCAACCTTGAGTTCACCACCGCCCACCATTATTCACATAAATCCAATAACAATTTTCAAAAATACCCAAATTTGTAATTTCGTTGGTAGTTGAATCACATTTTTAAATTCTAATCGTATCGATGTTCTTAGGCCGGATCAACAATTTTTATGATTGTTTTGTTTATCTTAATCAATTACATTTTCTAATTGCATTTATCAGGGATAAAACATCGAAGGGGGACAATACAAGTTTTTTCTTAATTCACATCATGATCAGGACGCTTATCAACCCGTTTACGTCACACTTAGCACCAATTAATGACAATTCACCGTATTTTTTTTTATTTTTAATGATAAAAGCTCGGCGTTAGACGCCTCGATACCGTGAACTAGAAAGCTCGCGAGAGCCGATAAAGGAAGGGATGCTGCAGGAGAGTCACGTGTTGTACCAGACTTGTTGGGATTGGTCCATGAGAAAAGCTGGCCCGGGATTTCGACCTAGTGACCTCCGTGACCTCTCCCAAAATATTGCCAAAATCAAAGGAATTTTCACTTTAATTGACCACAAAACCATTCAAAACTCCTCAAAAAACCCAAAACAACTTTTTTTTCTTAAGCAAGCCGCTAAATTAAGCAAAAATCAAAGTCGAGCTTTTATGAATTACCAACAGAGCTTTTGATTTCTGATTATGGTTGTCACTATAGCTCCAAACGTTTAGTTTATGACATTTATTGTAAAAGAAAGGATGCTGCGTGGAACGTTATTGATCAATAGCACCCCCACTACCATTTATGAGGGCGTAGCAGCCACTTCAGCTCTCCAGAAGAGCAAATGGAGCTTATTATGTTGCCGCGTAGTACACGCAACATGATCTCTTTACGCTAAACTTTGAGAAGGATCAACCACCGGACCGGAAAGATTTAAAGCCTGATTACCCTTCACGTAAAAGGGTTCGACCTTTTTTGAAAATTAACTGACATTATATGTGTACTTTTATAATAAGAGGGGTTTCACGAGTCACTTCTAAATATATTTATAAGTAAGTGAGAATTCGAATATTTTTTATAAATGCGATACTTACTTAGCATTCTTTGGAACAAACGTGGTTTCGACATAGTGAAAGTCATCTTCAGGCTCTTTAGGCATTAAAGGTGTTCGATCGGCGCGATGATGAGTTGGTGACGTATGAGAACCGTAACCATCGGCATTAAGCTGTAAAAAATAAAGACAAATGATGATTCGACAAATTTGTTGAAAGATCATTATCCTTTAGCAGAAAATCGATTGCGGTGTATTTGTATTGGGGAAATATTGTCTCATAAAAATAAAACTCGTATCTTTGTAGCGGAAGAAAATTAATACTGATTTATAAACGTTATTTCATTTTTATCACAATTTAATGTTGTGGAAGTACAACAGGTGGTTTTGATTTAAAAATAGAACATATGACCCGAAGAGAATTCGTGATTTTTTAGACCACTTGGCCGCTAGCATTTTATGTTTTATTCACGATTTTACGTTCTTACTTTTTTACTTACTTACTTTAAAAACTTTATTTTTGTTCTTATTTTTTACTATTTCCATAAATTTACGATTTGAAATACACATAAACAAAAAATTGTGTTCGTAAGCTTAAAAAACTATAAATTTTTCCTAACAAATATCTTAATTTTCAGAATAAATGTTTAACAAAGTCTTTTAAAGAGGAACCTTCCATTTTATTTGTATTATTCATTTGTGAAAATAAAAAAATACAAATTTGGAAATTAGTATCATTTATTAGTAAAAATAAATTAAAACAATTAGATAATTAAGCAAAATTAATTAATTCAATTTCCAGGGCAATTTATTCCTTGTTGATTTTACTGACTAATTGTTTGCGTTTTACTTTTTAACAGTTTACAATCAAAAATCTAATTATTTAGTCCAATCAAAAGGTTACAGTGACAGGGTTTATTATCATTAAATTAATTAATTAATCTGTATATATCTAATTGTAAAAAACAACAAAAAACTGATGCGATTATTATTGACAATTTACAATAATCTGCAGTAAATAAGCCGCCCATTTTATGACTGCAGTTTAAGTAGTTAACATCTTAATAGGGTTGTAAGACTGTAAATTTATAATGGCTTAAACATATACCACTAAGCAGCATATCCCTTGTCATCATTACGTTTCAAAAATAAACATTCTAAATTTATCCCTACATTTGTGGGATATGATTTACGGTTCGGGAATACCATTATTCCAAATGTTTGTTCTCATTAATTTTTACGGCCTAAATGAACCAATTAACATTCTTTCAAAACTGAAATTATTCAGTTTCAAAGAAACTTTTCCAGATTGTGAAAACGGTGTTTTTACTTGAAGAACTTTTATTTTTTTGGAAGCTTTATTACATTATTGATCTACTCTACATAACTCGTATTCTAAGAAACCCAATATGTAAAGTGAGTTGCATAAAACTTTGCGACATAATGGGGAGTACAGCACAACCGCAAACCAGTTCTTTGAAAGATTCGCGACCTGTTTGCGAAAGAATACAATAAATTATTCAATCAACTTCTCTCCAAGTCTGTATAAGTTGGCCACCTTGGAGCTGCGAAATCCACCTAACAAAACTCATAAATAATAAAATATTTTGATAATTGAAAATCTGGAGTAGATTGTGGAGGAGAAAATGATAGTTTCCAGAGGATTATTATCTATTAATTCGCTTCCAGTTTATTAAATTTTTTATTTTGTGAAAAACGATTATTTAGTAACGGTACAAAAGTCAATAAATCATTCTATAATAATTAATAATACGATAATTAAGAATCAAATACCAAACCGGTTATCGCCTTCGGAATAAGTAGTTAATTTTATGCATCACGGACCGTTCCACCCATCCGCCCGAAAGAGAATTTAAGCATAATTGAATAAAAAACTCAATTCAAGAGCACATCGCTGTAGCGGACTTTTCAACCGTTCGTTTTGTATCTGTATTTGACGTTATGAAAAATCTGTTCTTACTCTAACAATGGTAGCTACAGGCTGTTGGTGATGCGGTTGGTCCATGGCGAACGGCGGTGGTGTTGGTATTTTCTTCGGAAGCGGTTCCATCGGTATCTGCTCCCCCAGGAGGCGCTCTTTCATCTCGTGAATATACGGACACCGTTGCATGTTCGTGATTTTGTACTGGAACAAAAAGGAATAATGACTCGCCCTTGTCTCGAAACCATCATCCTGAAAATGTGCAATTACAATAATAGGCTTAATGGCCACCAAAGGCTTGGTTGCACAATTGATCGTTGGCGAGGTTTACACTGCGATTGAGTTACGACAGGATTTTAATTGGAAAAATGCCACGAACAACAAGTGGTTTTGGTTCCTGCTTTTGTAATTAATTCTGTACATGTAGAAAAGAAAGCGGGAAAATTCATTAATGGTAGTGGTTCGACATGATGAGTGTTAGAATCATCCGCGCAAATATGGACTGGCTTTGGCGGAAATATGTCAGGAAGTCGTTTGCTTTGCATGGCAAATATTTACAGGACTTTCTGACAACAGATGGCTCAATTATATTTAAATCCTGATTATAAAATAATTCTTTTTAATGCTATAAAATCTCATCATTATTCATTATTCGTTCTTTCACAAACTGCTCTTAATTGATCTAAAAACGTTTTGTTTTAAATACAACTATTTGCAATACAATACCTTATTATTTATTCAGTTTCACAGATTTAATCCTTCCTGCTTCAGTTTACTGTTGCTTGCAACAATATACCTATTTCAAATCAGACGTAATAAATCGATAAATTATAAATTACATCTGTAATATTCCCTGAAATCTTAGAGACGACTTCCTTATAAATAAAGTAAGATGTAGGCAGATAATGTTTCTTTGGACTATTAGATAGTTCTTACAACGGGTTTAGACATCTAAAGAGTGGTCAAAAATACGAATAATTGTCCATTTGAGAATAGAAATAGTCGTTTGTGAAATTTGAAACTAATTCAAATACAAAATGCTTGATCCCGTTGGTAATTCAATTTTTCCTTTTCAAATAAGCGTAAGCTTGACTGAACTGATTTGAATAAAACGAGTTTTAACACAAGATTTTTGCTCTAACAAATCAAAATACATTTTCAGTACCGAAGTAAATCCTAGGCAAAATCTTCATCATATTTTGAGCATTAAAACTTGATAAATCGTTTCTAAATATTGCTTTGGACTATTAGATAGTTCTAACCACGGGTTTAGACATCTAAGGAGTAATCAAAAATACGAATAATTGTCCATTTGAGAATAGAAGTAGTCGTTGTTTGTGAAATTTGAAACTAATTCAAATACAAAATGCTTGATCCCGCTGGTAATTCAATTTTTCCTTTTCGAATAAGCGTAAGCTCGACTGAACTGATCTGAATAAAACTAGTTTTAACACCATATTTTTGCTCTAACAAACCAAAATACATGTTCAGTACCGAAGTAAATCCCTTCATCATATTTTGAGCTTTAAAACTTGACAAATCATTTCTAGGTTTCCACAATTTTAACAAGAGATTCAACTATGGGAAAATCTAACACAGATTCTCGTTAATAAATCACTGTCACAGATTGCCGACATATCGCTCTTTGCTTTAATTACTACAAACTGCAGAATTACAAGAAATAATATTACATTTAACAACACTCAGTACACATTTGATTAAATATAAATCTCACAAAGAAGCAATTAAATTTTCCTTCATAAATCATCATCTCTTACATGACGTTAATACAGAGATTAACTTACAAAACGAGTCTAACACCAGGGAAATGCAACTACAATATAGTAAATAAGAGCGATAAGCACTTAATGGGCCATTGGGGTCGTTTAGAGACTTACCAGAATAAAGCCATTAACTCGCCTGAATTATAAAAGATATTGCCGTTTTAGAAGAAATGTATTTTGTAATGCAAATCAAAAGGAATAAAAATTAAATAAATTTTTGAAATGACACACATTTTATAAATGATTCAGCAGTAGTTATTAAATTTTGAATATTAATTGTGGGCTTTGCTCTATAATATTCCGCACCAGAGTGCATATCCTCTAAATTCTGCGGTCCATAACAGAAATGTTGAATGTCATTACCACGCATTACGATTGTCACTTGAACTGTACTTTACCATTGACGTCAATACCAGCTTCAAGTAACTCTGTAACACCTGTGTTGAATTGTAACCGAAAGATAATTATCAATGGTTTCGCTTTACAATTGATTAAAATTTATATTCTAGTCTGTCAACTCCTTAATGGTAGTAATGAAGTCGTTATGGTTTCCTAAATTAGTCTGGATTGAGGTGTGAACAAATAATTCAATTTAATTTAAAAATATAGGTCACACCCTTCCCTATATCGATCAAAACAAAAAGCGCAAAAGCTGAAGCGAAACATATTTTTAACCCAGTTCCTCACCCATGAACCTCGCTCCTAAACCGACCTGAAAGTCATTAAAAAGCAATAAGTTTCACTCTTGGTCCACGTACCAAAAGCTTGTTTATTTATCCGAGCGCAAATACACAAAGTGTATCAAAGTTATTTCAGTCAACTCACCTAAAACCCAGGAATAGGCGCCAGCAGAGTCAGTGCATGGGTGCATAGTGCAAGGACAACAAAACCAAAACAACGCACCACTCGGCGATGTTATCGAAAAAGCTCCCCGGAAATGTCATCGGGAGGGTTGGATACGTGCTTTGGCGGCTAACATAAACCGGAAACAAGTCCGTCGAGTTCACAAAATAAAGCAACAAAAGTGCGTGCGTACAACTAGTCTACTGCGATTAGGTCGACGGACTCGCGGCCAACTTGATGGTAGCTTCGCCACTGCGCTGCGCATTTGTCCCGGATTCCCCGCTCTCTTGATGATTACGGACACTTTTCGCCAATTCCGGGTCTCATAGATTATACAAGAGGGATGAAACGCACACGTGGGCAGAAGTGGGTTGATATCCAAGTGATCGATCAAATTTTGAATTTAGAAAAACCGTAAGTAGCAATGTTTAGAAGCATGACCCAATTTCTAGCAAACTACAGACAGCTTCAAACAAATTTAAAAGCTTCACTCAAACAACATTTAAAAAAAAAACATAGCGAGATCACCACTTACAATTTTAACTTTACATTTGATGGCTTTCTGGTGTCTGTCATCATTTATAATTTCTTCGTTTATTTTGGGCAATTTGTTCATTTTTTATTTGTTTCATTCTAAATGTTGACTATAAGTGCATGGTGATAGAAGAATGCACTTGAACGAACATCTGAAATCGTTATGCGCGAATGTGTGTTGGTGTGATAGTTGAAGCGTTCACCGTCGGACGTCGGTGAGGCGCCACTATCTAGAGCGTCAAGCAGTCTGCTCGTAGAGCTTTCACATTCATTACAAGACATTCGATATCAACTTATCAATTGAATTATTGACGTCTTCTTACTCGAAAGCTCAACTAATTGAAACCAAGTCCAAGACGTCAATCTGATTCAACTTAAAGATTTTTTTCTGATTTCAGCCCTATTTAGGTCACATATGCGACCAGAAGAAGCTTTTGTGACATCTTTTGATTTTTAGTCACGTATTACACGCTCGAGTCGTTTACGTATACTGAAGGGTGGCTATTTTTGTCCCTCATCGGCACCCTACTTCCCGTACCGCATTATTTCACATCAAGTGTTCCGAATGTTGGCCCTAATGATTACATTTCAGGTACAAAAATTCCGAAAACATATACTTCTGAACAAAATGAAAAGAATGCAAAATGCATTTAATGAGGTAACCTTAGGGGTCGTTTATCCCCTCCAAACACCTGTTTCTGCAACCGAACAAAGGAGCATCGGGACGCCACCAACGCCGATCGAAGTCCACTACTACCCTTATGGAAAAAGTTCGAATCAAAACAAAATTTTAGAGGGAAATTTGTTGCAACTTTAATTTTTGTTTTTTTTTTTTAATCTTACCTAATCTCCATGTTTCAAATCCTCAAAGATATCTCTTGTCCATCGACTACTTCTTCTTATTTCTAAATGAAATCACCACCATTTAATTAATTGCGATATGTATCTTTGGTTTATTATTATTTTCGTTTAATTTTATTACAACATTATTAAGCTAACGAGTCCACTACTAGTACTAGAACTAACTGGAAACTCGCGTGTTACCGCTTCTAAACTCTGGATAACTATAGTGAACGTTGCATTACGCTACAGACCGTAGAATGCGTTTTAGTGTTTTGGTTTCCCCCTACTACTGTTTGTATCACGTGACTTGGCTTTAGGGGCTCGGAAATGAAGACCCTTGCGACTCACATGCTATCGTGGACCATACAACCCTCTTATTTCATTCCGATGTAAATTTTTTAACAAGCTAAAGTACAGTTCGACAAAACTTTCATTTTTCTAAAGAGAAACATAATATGTTTTCTTTACGACTTCTGACTGTTAATCTCAAGTGTACAAGTGCACATCAAGATAAACTACATGCTTATTTCGAGTGTGTTTATGATTCTCGACTGAGAACTGTTTATTTTCGCTCTTTTGATGAAAAGTCAATTCTCTTGGGATGTCTCCGGGTTCTTGACACATTTTGGGTTGAAATCAGGAACAGGAACGGTCTTTAACTATAAAACCCGGAAACTACCAACCCTCGCTGCTGCTGTAAATGATTCAAAGTTTCATTTCAGTCCACCCCTTTCACTACCTTCTATTCGATTTTATCTTATTATTCCACACTTTTGCTTTTTGTAATCAAAATTGTATAACTTGCTTTGTTACGGCAACACTTACCCGTTTCTTGTCAATGAAAAATGTTTCAGTATTCATTAATAAAAAAAGGATTTAATTGTAAGAAGTTACTGCTTTCTAGATCCGTTATCGGAGTTTCTGCCAGGAGAAAGATTAAACTGTTTTTCACTTTGGCACTTATTTACGAAACTCAGAAAGTGAAACTGAAGTAAGAGTCGAATAAATAAGACAAATTCACAATGTGTGATATTTTATTATTATTACGATACATTTAGTAAATAACTTGCAATTAAAATTAACATTTAAATAAATCAAATGATGGCTATATACAATAAAATTGTAAATGGATAACAAATAATTTGCGAATAAATTATTTACAAATTTCTAAACTAATATGGCACAAAATAACAAACATAACTTAAAATATGGCTAAAAGCATTTCTGATTGGCACCATTAATTTTTTCTAAAATAAATACACAAATGTAACATTTAAAACTAGACTAAATCGGTCTGTGTAAAGTGGGTCTATTTTGAATATATAATTATCGACAAGGTATATTTCTTCTTTTTGACCCACTTTGTACATGACACTTACATAATACCTTATTATCAAAATCGTTATGATGCATCTAATTTTTATAAACTACAAAATATTGTTCCCAAAAATTTGTACATAACAAAGGATTATTAGTCAACGAGATCATCAACAAAAATTTTAACAAAAATCTCGTTGTTGCGAGAAATTCTAAACATCCATTGTACTTGTAATTAAAAAGCTATTGAGCCAAGTGTAAGTGGTACTAAGGTGCTTATTTTGTATTAAATAGGCAGGACAAAATTGAAGTTTGTACTTTAACAACTATTTCATAAAGGAAGACGGCTTTGTAAATTGCTATAAAAATGTGTAAAATGTGAGAGGTATAAAAAGGTTAGATATGAAGATGGGTTGACTACTCCTACAAACACTAATATGAAAATAGTTTTTGGTGTAGATCTGATGTCCGAAAAGATTAATTATTGTTTGAACATTGTTAACCCTGCATTGATCAAACTTCTGTTACTAGACTACAAAGCAATTAAAGGGCCTTTATATCGAACTATAATATAATTTGTGACTGCGGTGGATGTAACTCTTCACTTAAGCAATTAGGCGTATTAAAAATCTCTCCAAAAATATGAACTAAACCAACTAATTTTGAGCATTTCCGGGAGTCAGTCTTGTAACTCATGCTACGGGATATTTAGGATATGTAAAAACTACTCTAGGTTAGAATGATCGCTTAGGGAATCGCAGAAAATTCTTGCATATCCGGTTCCGTGAAGTCTTGCAACTACCAATAAGTTATGTAACACACACTCGTAATACACTGTCATAAAATACAAGATTTAATTAAAGACGACTTACGTTACTTGAAACTAGACTTTCATGATCAATAAACGAAGCTTTAATCTCACATACAACATCGACCATACTTGCCACTTCAGTCTCAAACAAGAAAAAAGCCAAGACTAGATTACCACAAACCGCTACATATAAGTCGGTTTGATCTTATAAGCGCGCTTCCAAATCTCACACAAGCAAACAGTTGAATGAAACCGATAAAAAATCGCCAATGGCATTGAGACATGTGTTATGATAGTCCACGCCCACAGCCCGTAAAAATGCAATTGGATGGGATGCGACTCGGCCCGGGATTTCTCCAGTGTGTTAATAGCCCACATTGCCAAATTGGTTACAAGGAGGAAAGTGACGATTTGGCGCCCGGGTTTCCGCCGAATTTGCTCCGGAGTGACACAACTGCGCCTAGACGCATCTAGAATAAATATTGTTTGACATGTAGTTTGCAAAAGGGAAGCTAAAGCAGTCACGAGGACCAAAACAGTGTTTCGCTGAATCGTGAACTGACCACCGATTATTGTAAACGTGCTGTAAATAAACATTCCAGTTTGGGCACCAATTAAGAGAATGTTGTCTAATTGTAAATTCTTGCTGCCGTCGTATTTGAGTTGGCGGACCTGCCACATACCAATTATGGATGCCAGAGTGGTCAAACCATAAAGTGTCAACTCGCAAATATTCACTTCGATTACCGCCAAACCAACAAACTCTGACCGAGATATCAGGACAAAGAATAAAATCAGAGATATGATTGTAAGGACTAGGAGGAGAATCCCAACGAAAAGCCCTTTGTGGGCCCTTGCGCAATCAACTGAATAGTGATGAGGGCTCCGTTTGTATGCCGAAAGGTCACTCTTAGCCCTAACCCCAGTTAATGGCAACTTCGATATGTTTTTCCACATGACATATAAAATTGCGGCACAAATTAGACTATATTCGATGGTACAAGGAAAAAGGAAAGGTGAAGCATCTTGAACTAGTGACCCTATAATGTTGGTACGTCTGCACTCGTAGAGGTGGTGTGGTCCTTTGAGCCCCCTTGCTACAATATGGTGGCCGTGGGCTTCCGGTGGATGGTCCATTGGGACTGCCGGGAGTCCCAAAATATTGTTTTTGTAAGGAATCCGATGCGAGATCCGGAGCGAGTTATTTTCCGGGTTGTAGAACGTTAAAATCTCGTGTTTGGTCTCTTGAACTAAGACATTCAACCAAACGGAAAGATTAGTCCCGATCATGTGCATTAAGCCGAATCTTGCAGCGACTTTGTGCCTGTAAACTCGCATTTGCTGGAACAAAGAAACACTAGATGGAGTTGTGTGGATCAATAGTGTGGGTCACAGAGGTCGCACTACCGGGTCGATATTCCATAAAAGTTTAATTTGCATGCTTACCTCGTTATTCAAAAAAATGAAATACATTTGGATAAAAATAAAAGCCATGCGAGTGGCTGGTGTTAATGCTAGGAGGACGTTATGGCATTTGGTGTCTCGTTCGAGTTCAAAGTATTGTCCAAATTCGAGTCCGGAGTAAATCATACTTCCGATTCCGAAAGCTGTAATTTTGAGTTTTGAGTAGAATTGAGGTGGAAGTAATAGTTGGGGGAATTACCAACTGCACCCATACGTAGATAAAAGCTTCCATAGTGGTTTTGTTTGGTAACTGTAGGTAAAGAGCTCCTTCTCGGGCGATTATACATTTGTGAACTGACCGTATCAGCACTCGTTTCCCCCGTATCATTATCAGACTCTTCATCTGAAATACTTTCTTCCTTACTTTTCGAGGTTTCTGCAAGTAAAGTTTACGCATCATTTACATCAGAACGCGAGAATCGCTTGTGAGTTATAACAGATATTACATTTTACGGATTTAACTCGAGCAAATATAATAAACATCCTTACTGTTATTAGCTTCTGCAACTCGTTTCCTTTTTCTTTTATCTCGGAGAAGCACGGTGTACATGTAGAGGAGGAAAAACATGCTTCCAATATAGAGATAAAGATAGTACGCTTCGTAGAACGAAGGAGGAACATACGTTGAAATAACTTCCGCCATAGGAAATGCTGTTCCCATCACCACCAATAATTTCCCGTACAGAGCCGACAAAGTCGTCGCCAGGGCGTCCCTGGAATGGAGCAATCAACGGCGCAATTAAAATCTAATTAGACCAAAATACGGAAACAGTACGCGAATTTTTTTTCATCAAAAGTGGCAAATATTTGTAGAACCCAAGATAGATTTAGGAAAACCAGGTTTTGTATTTTATAAACTTGTTTTTTATCAAAATAAAAAGATCAAAAATTTAATTAATTATACGATTAAAACATTTATTACATATTACCAAAGATGGATTTAGGAAAAATAATTTGTAAGTGACTAACTGTAATTGCTGTAACTTTTGTATTACTGTTTTGCACTTTTTAAGGTAAAATTAATTACAAAATCTTCGTAATTACTTCCACAAGGATCCCTTATAATGATAATTAATCTTGTATTATAAGCTTATATATTTTTTAATCAAAATAAGAAAACAAAAATGTCCAACGTTTTATAGAAAATTAGTTACCCGTATTATCAAAAATTTGAAGAAAAAAAGGTTTATGTTTTTTGGTGTCTTTTTTTTACTTTTTTAAGGTAAAATTATTTAGAAAATCGCCATAATTACCGCCACCACTCCTTTACAACGGGATAATTAATCTTGATCTTGTATACGTTTCTGGTTAGTTGATGTACAATAAAACTTGAAAGCCGCTTTGAGTAATGCTATTTTTACCATTTGTTGGGCCAATCTGTCCCGAAGCGTAAAATTTATCGCTGCAATATGTCCCCCTCATATCGTGGCGGGGCATGAATCGCGATGATCGAAATTATTACCAACGCTCTCAATAACATGCCAGAAACAGTAATTTTTCTCCCTTAAGGAGAGAATAGCGTAAATAAGGAGCACCGAGAAGGAAAAATCAATAAAAGGGAGACAAGTGCCAAATCAGGCATTCAAGCTACGCATTTCAAGTATCATCATAAAAACTTTGTGACAATGAGCCGAGAACAATCTCTTATCGCTTAATTTGCGTAGAATAATTAAACTTACGCTCCGAGTTGTCTCCATTCAATCTGTTTTTCCGCACGTGAAAGCCTTCTCATGACTGGAAACTGCTGATGGTAGCCTAGGGGCGCCACGGCGAGTGGTCCAGGTGACAAAGTTCTGAAAGTAGATTATTTATGAAGGCTTTCTTGTGCATTTTCGGGCTTACTTCGGGGGTGAAGCAATTTGGACGTGTGCAGTTTGTTTGGTGGATTTTGACGGAGAAGAATGATGACTCAACGTTTCTGGTGATACTATGACGGCAGAAGGGGATGCTGGAGATGGTAGTAAAGGGTCGCCACCCCCAAGTGCACTACTCCGACTGCCCCCACTCATATTTTGGGGCGGTATCGTTGGCCAACTATAAATAAAATCGCAATTAATTGTTAGTTTCGTTCGGAAATTGATTCACCCCAACAATGGGCAGTTGGAACAATAATTTCAAAGCGACACTGGGGGTGACAGTATCAAACATTGTAATCGATACAGTTGGCCCTAAACTACACACTGTGGGCTATTTTAGGAACCGTGTCATTTAGGGAAGTCAGATAAACATCCCTCTTTCTTACGAGTCGAGAGATAAAAGGACCAAGCTGTTAATTGGTTGAAACCTCTTCTAGGTTTCTATTTGAAAAAATGATCACCACACATGCCAGTACTTGTTTCCTCTTCAACAAGAAACTAAATTTAAATGAAGGCATTCTTAAAATAAGCCACATGTGTCCAACAAATTACGTGACAGAAATAGTCGAACAAATGTCGTAAATTTCAAGTATTGTTACCTTAAATGGCCTTCACATGTGCGGGTTAACCATACAGGTCCACCATCGTGACCCCTACTAGACATACTAAAGGGTAACTAAGCTGATGGGGCAATTATTCCATTGAGCCAAATCAAACCATTAAATGAGCGAATTGTTTCCCGCATGTTGTGGACCACTCGACCACGTGCAAATTATTTTATTCTTTGTTACAGGGAGTTAATGCATGCAATTTACGCAAAAATCCATGTGTAAAATCGTACTACTGTTGCGATTATAGGGTCAGCGAACTTTAACATAATTCATTGAACACACAACGAAAGGGTAAGTTATTAAAGCAGAAACGGGTTTCAATCGGAGAAGCTGAAAAAGTTTATCTCATTAGAGGGATTTCAACAAATCGGCGGAATTTACAGGCAGCGAAGCTTCCTTTAAATTTTCTTACCGATATTTATTATTCATTATAAACTTTTATATGGTCCCATCATATTTTTTTTAATCCATTTTTTAACATATCTTAGAATATACCAGAAAATGTTTTCCAATTCGAAATATTCGAATATATAAATATTCGAAAGGTATTGAATTTATTCTTGACTTCTTTTTCAAACCCGGAAAAAGTCTACTAAATAAATAAATCAAATATTTTTTAATATATTTATTATTTAGAAAAATGTAATTTTTTTAGACGTTGGTAAAATAACATTTTAGAAAAATCAAGAGATTACCTACAAATCTATTTTTGCAATCTTTTTGAGCAAAGGAATATTTATCATTTGTGTTTTTTTTTATTTATTTAAATGCTATAACCACCAAGAGACTCGTAAATTATGAGTCTCCCTTTCCACGCTTTTGCTTGCTTATTTTAGTTTTTGTGTGAAAGCGTTTTTGAAATATACACGCACGACAAGTGACATGTTTCCCTTCTCACACCCACTATTTTTATTGTTGATAAATTAGCCACTGCGGAACCATGTAAATAGTACAAATGGAATTCACAGAGACGTATAATTTAAAACTTTGTCATATTTTAATGATAATCGCTAGTGCACTATACTGGAACTGACATGAAACATGTCCGGGTCATGTACCGTTATAATTTTTCTTTCACATTCTCGTTTAATAATTGATTGGAGTGATATTCCTAATAAGGTAGAGGATGGACATTTGATCCGTTATAAACCGTGTTTGGGCTCTGAGATTTCGTTCAGGCAAGTTGAGTAAACTGATACAATAAATCACGTACCTTTCGCCTTCAGTTTTTCCGTACCCTAAAGCAGTGGGGGTTGCTGTGGTATCCGCAGTCGTGTCCCCGAGGTCAGCAGCGGAAGTAGTTGCCATTTCTTCAATATCCGAATCGATTCCTTTATCAAAATCCATATAAAACGAATCTCTCGAATCGCTAGATCCTCGTCTTAGCTTAAGACTCAAATCTGGCGAGCTATCATCCATTGTTAATCGATATTTTTTTCTACACACACACTAAAGACAATCTAAATTATTTCAACATTGTCTTTAGCCACGTGACGTAGTACCAAATGGTACTACTTCAGCAGGAACCTGCTACTGATTAATAATCACATCACGGAAATTTTTTCGATATTCAAATTATTTTTATTTTTTGTCAGCAAGAGATGTTATAGCAACGTTAAGGACTACATCACATAATTTTTCTACGTGTTGATCACTCGTTTTACTCAGGATCGCGTAATTTTACATTTTAACGCTTCCAACACCGTCCACACACAACTGATGCTCGGCTCTCTTTTATGTTGAGCGGTAGCTGCTGCGGAGTCAACGACATAGCTACACATCCAACATAGAGTAGGGGGTGTGTACCTCTAGAGGGTAGACGTTGTGGGGTAAAAGCATTGCGAGAGGATGCAGAGGGTTGAAACATCGATTTTACTCGCAATTCCAGTTGACTCACCTTTTACACGAACCGTGACACCGCGTTTGTTTATAGTACAAGTTCATTCATGGTATTGGCATTGTAAAATGGGCAGTACCATTATGGACACGGAGAACAATTTAAGAAAACAGCCATTTTTGCAATAGATGTGATTGTTGGGGCACATTATTTATATAAACTTTTTTTTTCTTTCTCATAAGATTCAAATTTCATACACAAAGTTTAATCTTCTGCATTTCAAAACTTCTCAAAAGTAATACGACGTAGTTATTATCATTCGCTTTTTAATTTTAGTCGCTGTTTGACAAAGATTGTTTCAATCATTTCTTATGACAAAGAAATAAAACAAAAATGCTCTCGCGTTGGAATTTCCTCAATTTTTTTGTGGTTTGCCAGAACAATTTTTTATTATGCATTCGGTTAGACTATAATAAAACTCAGAATGTTTTTTGTCTGTTTTATTTAACGACACTTTAAAAATAATTACAAAATTATAAATTAACTAGGATAAACTACATATAAGAATGGCTTTATCACTAATTTTGCGGAATCTTATATACATAAAGATAAGACAATACAATATTTAAGTAATGAATAAAATAAAGTATCTTTAAAATTTTATTTCTTAGCGATACAGCCTTGCCAGAGAAGACCTCCACAAGCCATGCAAACAATAAAATAAACAATCACAGTAATAATCACACCAATAATAACATAAAGCTTAATATTTTTCCAGAACATGGAACGTGCCAGATTGCGACTTGTCTTTCTGAATGTCACGGACTGAAACATATCTTTCAGAAAAAAAAACATTTTTTTATCAAATACTTACTCCACTATTCAAATTTTCAGCTTTATTTACTAAAAGTTCCAGCCTTTCTCCCCTCATTGCCACATTATCTTATCAAAAAATACAGTATATGTTACAGTGCAAAATATTTATTCATACTCACCTATATTCTTTACCATAATGTTTTTAAGTTCATCTAACTCTCCATGAACTCTTGAAATTGTATCGACGTCGTGGGATTCAGAATAATGTTTCATTTCGTTTGCTAGAACTCTGGAAAATTCAGAATTCATCGCATATGCGATCGCGGTATGAATGGAGTCCCCATATTGAGACCTGAAACGTCTTTTAATTTCATTGAGAAATAAAAACGCTCGTGATCTCTCAAATTCCTAAAACAAAATCGATAGAACTATTTTATATTTAACACTGCATTTACATTACATCGTCAGTAATACACATGTAAATAATTTGATTTTCACAAACATAATGGAACAAATAATTTCCATGTGAGTATGTCAACTTATCATCATGTGGTGGTATTTTTCCAATAATTTGTTCAGTAACTTCAGCAAAATTTCCGGCACAAGAGGCATATCGAACTAGGACTGTGCTTCCCCGAGATATTACACTATACAAAATAGGCATCTAAAATGAATAAACAATGTTAATTGCTCCTAAATAGTTAGAACGTAATTACGTTTTAATTTTTTCAGTTTACCTTGACAACTTTACATCAACGGCAAAAATGTTAAACACGTAATAATGATAACTCACAGCAAAACGAACACAAATATCTTTCGAATTATTCGATATTATAAAAGTTTGCAAAGAACAATAACAAAAACGTCATGTGTCACTATGACGTTTGGTTTACAAGTGCGCATGCGTCAATGATGACTCAGTCGATGTGCTAAATACCACACCAGTGCCGTACAACAATTTTTCGAAATTTTTGATAAAAATAAATTTTTACTACTGTTTTGTTATTGTTCAAATTTTTGTAAATTGTGACCACCAAAAATAAATATGAATTTAAATTAAATAGGTGTTGGAAGCGGGTCTACAAATTATATTTTTGGGCCACTTTTTTGAAAATCGAGTGGCGCGTTGTCAAAGAATTTGAAAAAATGTGGCCGAGCAAATAATTTCAATCATTTCAATTTCATGGCGCAAATTATGGAATTCCTGTTAAATTTATTGTTACTGCGTGGAAAGTTTCTTACCACAGCGGCGGCCGAGACACTTCATGAATATATTAAAAAATGTATGCAATTTAAGCGAAAAATTTCGACTGAATACAACAATGCGACCCAAATAATACCATTCGAAAATATGTTGGAATTTATCAACGACAACTCGAGCAAATATATTTGTGAGGGAGATGTTGTGACGAATGATATACGATATTTATATGAACATGTGAATAAAATAAAGCAAGAAAGTGGGAAACAAGTTGCTTTGAAGAATGAGCTCATTCCACAAACAGTTGTTAAAAAATTGGAAAAGTTAACAAAAAATCAAAATTTGAACACTGTTCCTGACTGGTTGCGCCGTGAACAGAACAAAATTAACAATGATCTTAAGGTAAAAAGTCAAGAACATATCATTGATAATTTGCACGCAATTCTCAAGTCGCAAGAGTTTCTCTTCAAGAATATCATCAAACTAGTGAATATCCTCGAGAAAGATGCAGTCATCAACTCAAACAGTGAGAAATTGGATAAAATCAAGAAAAAACTCGTTGCATGTACTGACATTTTGTCAAACGCAGCCAGTTCTCAACAATTTACAAGTCTTATCAATAAAATCATCGAAGAAGAGATTACGCGTTGTAGGTTCAGACACGGTGAAAGCAAAACTAGTGCTGAAATTAACTTAAGAGTGCCAAAGCCTGAAGGAATTGAAGCTGCTTTGGACACGTCGCAGAAGAATAATGACATCAGAAAATTGAAGAAACAACTCGCTGAGAAGATCGTTAAACCAAACATAAATAAACAGAAGAATGAACGTTTGAGGGGGCGAATTATTGACATGGAAGTGAAAACAAATGCCCGAAAATTACTAAAACGCGCAAAATCTGAACCTGTTCTAAATGAAAACAGAAAATTTGAAACAATCTGGAAGAAAACACAAATAGATATTGAAGAATCCAAAAAAGTGATACAAGTCAATGAAGATCGATTTAACAAATTTGAAAATACACTGTGGCATACGTTAACTACTATGAAATTTATGTCTCTTAAAAATGATTATGCGAATATGTGCAAGTGTGCGTTCTATAATAAGAGACAATTTGTGGCAACGGAAGCAACAATTTCTAAAAAAGTCAAAGAAGAAGAAAATTTCGGCAAGTTTGTTAAAGTAAGTAACTCCATGTTTCACATCACGGAAAAAAGATTGTCATTTGAGGAAGAACACCAGGATTTTGTTACAGAAACAGGAGGAACAAATAAGACAAGCAAAAGAAAAGATGGATCGTCCCAAATAAACGAACATAAGATTTTGGCAAAAACAGTAAAAAAAGTAATGAGCTACGATCCCCAAAAATCTGTCAAAAACGCTCCACCTGTATTTATACAAAACCAGAAAACGGTTTCAGACGAACAAGGCAATAACACTGTTATTAATGGCAATGATTTAAAAAAGTTGATCCAAAACCATTCCCCAAATGCCACTTTTGCAGTAATTGTTGAAGAAAGCGACAAAAGTGTGATCAAATCACGAGAAATAGTTCCCACTGTACGAGATAACAAACAAACTAATACAATTATTAGTGTTCACAGTTTTCCTAAGAAGAAAACAACAGATATTTTTAAAAACATTTCTTCTTTTGATGAGGTTACGAAAAGTGAAGCTTTAAATCCTATTAAAACATCAGATGAGGGAAAACCTAATCCCTTAGAAAAACATGAAGAGCAACAAATTATTAAAAATAAAGAAGAAAACTTAGCAAATGAACCCAGAAGTGTTTTATCCGAAAAAATAAAAAGAAATCAACAAACAGATAAGCACTTCGTGCAGTCGTTAAGGAATTCTGATTTAAATGAAAAAAAACCATCCAAAACACCTAAAAATGTAAAAATGAGGTTGAATGTGTTCTTGAAAAGGAGAGATTCATTGGGAACAAATCCGACTAAGTCGCCGTCTCCAATAACCGTACATTCCAGAAATGAAGAAAAAAAGGAATCGTTAACAAACATTCCAAAAACTGGTAAAAAGCAAAACTTTGAAATAACTGCAAAACTCCAAACTATTCCCAACGATAATTTAAAATTGTGCACAATGAACGCCATTTCAAGTACCGCAAATAAGGAAAACAAAAAAGTCTCCATGCACGAATTTAAAAGTGAGGCTGACCTTATCTATGTGAATAACAAGGCGTTTCAAGAACTTGAAACCACAATCAAAACAGTTCAGATTGTTAAAAAGTGTCCAAAAACAAATGAAACAGCAGAAAATGTTAGGAGGGAGAAAAAAAGTGTGTCTAGTGAAAATCTCGCATCGATTTTAAAACAGCGAAACGACATTAAGCGCGAAATGAAATCCGAAGCGTCTTCTAGAGGTGGTGGTGATGAGAAAGTTAGCAAAAATAAGCGCGATTTACATACGGAAGTCAAGAAGTTGCCCAGTGAAAAAGGTAAAACTTTTTTGAAAAATTCGAAATCAAGTCAGAAGAGTATAAATCTTCAAATCAAAAAATCGTTTGTAAAACCGTCCAAGCCAAACCCCAGTAATTTTCAAATGCGACGTACGACAAAAAATGCAATGAAAAGGCAACAAGTTATGACGATTTTGCCCAAGATTGCGAGGGATAATCAAGAGAAAAAAAAAGCGCAAATTCGTTTGGTTGAAACTGAGGAAATAAAAACTGTTAAAATGAAACAACTTACAAAAAAAGAGAGTTGCGTAGCTAAAAAATCAAGTTTCGTGAAATTGGCAAGAAATTTTTCACCTAAAAAAATGTTCCGTAATTCGTTGGCAAGCAGATTGTTGGAAAAATCTCCCAACAAAAAAATTAATCGTACGAATTGGGAAGAAGAGGAAGGGTGTAAGGTTGTCACAATGGTGGAAGACTAATTAAATGTGTTTCAGTCTTCTTGTCTTGTAATAGCGTGCAAGTGGAATAAATTGACGAATTTTATAAAACAAATTATTTATTCTTCATTACAAGAACTAGTACGACATAATAAATCATTATGAATTCCCTGTCATAGAAAACTTGAAAACTTAAATTTATACTTAACATATTTGCACTTGAAATCCTTATAAACTATTTGAATTACTTTGCGAGAGAGGACGCCTAAATAGTAAAATATGTGGCTCAGGCGTATGAAGCATATAATGCACCCAATTAGGACTTTGTTGTACCCCTAAATTGCGCCATTCTGTCTCAGTCATTAAATGGGGTCGAGGCACAAGTTTTGCCAAATCTGGAGGCAAAATCACGTGTCGATATTCGTAATGCTCATCGGAGTATTTTTCCGAGTACAAAATATTATTTACAGGCATTTTTAAGCTGCAAAATAGTTTTGTTTTGATTTGACATAACCTCAAAATCGCTTTATATCGTACGAAAAACATACCAATGCTCAAAATCAACGTGTTGATTGTTGGGTTGATTAGCGTATTTTTAGGAGCTACCAGATACCCAATGAATCCAAAATTAATGATAATTTAAATGAAATTTAATCTTTTTCATCAATTACCACGCCACTGGATAACAAGTTCACCAACTACTACAAGGTACCACCCACTTAAAATTAAAAAAACTAGTGTCACACGTGGATTAAGTCGTCAAATTTTGTTGTGTAAAAAAACAGATCCGCAATGTCAGATTTTGAGCCCTTAGAACCCTCATTAAAAAATGTAATAGACCAGACAACTCTTAAATGGATTTTTGTCGGTGGAAAAGGCGGTGTGGGTAAAACAACTTGTAGGCAAGTGTTGTCACTGAAACTGATGTTCGTATGTAACCCCCCTTTCCAGTTGTAGCTTAGCGGTACAGCTTTCAAAAGTCCGCGAGTCTGTTTTAATCATATCAACTGACCCAGCCCACAATATATCAGACGCCTTTGACCAAAAGTTTACAAAAGTACCAACTCTTGTGAAAGGCTTTAACAATTTGTATGCTATGGAAATTGACCCCAATGTGGGTTTTAACGAGCTTCCTGACGAATATTTTGATGGGGAACCAGAAGCAATGAGAATGAGTAAAGGCATCATCCAGGAAATAATAGGAGCCTTCCCTGGCATAGATGAAGCCATGAGCTATGCAGAAGTCATGAAATTAATCAAAAGCATGAATTTCTCAACTGTGGTATTTGACACAGCACCCACAGGTCACACATTAAGACTCCTGTCGTTCCCACAAGTTGTTGAGAAAGGTTTAGGGAAATTACTGAGATTAAAACTGAAAATTTCACCTCTAGTCTCACAAATCAGTGGTCTTTTGGGCATACAAGACTTCAACGCTGATACTCTTTCTTCAAAAATGGAAGAAATGCTTTCAGTAATAAAGCAAGTCAACGAACAGTTTAAAAATCCAGACCAAACGACTTTTGTTTGCGTTTGCATAGCTGAATTTTTATCGCTTTATGAAACTGAACGACTTGTTCAGGAATTGACTAAATGCAAAATTGATACTCATAACATTATTGTCAATCAGTTGCTCTTCAGAAAACCCGACGAAAATCCATGTAAAATGTGTTTGGCAAGATTTAAAATCCAGGAGAAATATCTTGACCAGATTAATGACCTGTATGAGGACTTCCACGTCACGAAGTTACCATTATTAGAAAAAGAAGTCAGGGGTGGTGATAATGTTAAAGCTTTTTCTGAGTATTTAATACACCCATACACTCTTAATTAACTTATTTAATGATCTGTTTATGTTAAATTGGTTTATTATGGTTTTTTAGGTGATAAATATAGGTCATACAAACAAAAACATTTTTATTAAATTCGGAGAATTCAAAGATTCCTATTGTTATCCCTCATATTCGGCCAATCAGATAAGCGATTTTCCTTGAAATATTTTTCCCGAGTAAGAGACTTCATGCCCAAGATTTCAGTTGCACCATAAATACCTCCTCCCAACCACGCAGTGTAGTTTTCCTTACAAGGTGGATTATGAAACTTAACCGTTGTAATTCTCAATTTATTATATCTGTCGTATTTCAACTGTTTATGTAACTCTTCTTTCAATCTTGCCTTAAATCCAGGAGCCATTACAGTACCCCCAATTAAAAGAATATTCTCTGCAAGTTTGTTTCTTAAATGCACATCAACTTTTAATATAGCATCCAGAATCATTGTTGAAAGACACAAATGGTCGTTATCTTCCTCATATAAAATTTCATAAACCTTTTCACGCACTTTTCCTGAAATTGTTATCATATCTGAGCCTCCAATGGGATATTTAACTTCCGGAGCAAAAGTAATTTCAGGTTTTGCCAAACTGAACTGCTCTGCTCGTTTTTGTTTGGTTACAAAACAACAGCGCACTGAAATAAATATTTTATAACTGTTTTTTTTTTTCTGACTGGTTTAAACCTTTAATATCTTCCATAACCGTCTCAGGCAAATTGTTGATTCCTGTATTTTCAGAACTTAATAATGCTTGCAAGTTCCTGAAATAAATTATTTAATTTTTTTTTCTCTTTAATTTGAGCTTACTTATGAATTGCTTGTGATCCTAAAGGTAAGGCCTGCCAAGCGTGAATTACAGGCAGACCAAAACAAACAGGAATAGCAACAGCTTCAGTGTAACCAACGTCAAGTACTAAAGCTGTTTCAGCAGCCAAAGTAGATAAACTTACTAAATGTGAAGGCAAAATCAACATCATTGAAATTTCATAATGTACGAACAAAACCTGCAAGGAATTGTATCAAAGTAGATTATGTAGTTTCAAAACATACTTTAGCTAAAGTTTCTCTAAATAATGTTGGCGATAAAAGAGATTCAACAACGACAATTGGCTTGTCTTTGGGACTAAATAATGCATATTTGAAATACAAAATGTGGATGAAATCCACAAGTAAATCATACAAATCTTTTTCATCTTTATAATCAATAATTCGCCGTATTTGATTCGTTCTTTTACACCGGACCTCAGAACGAATTATGCATCGTGGGGCGTATTCCCCACTGAAGCCAAATCTACAAAATACACATTTATTGTGACTGTAATCTTTATAAATTTGGTCTTACTTGGTGTATGCAGCCCCTATATCTAGCACTACAGTTAATTTATCACTCAAAGTTTCGTATATTGGCATTTTCTTATTAAAAAAAATGTTTTTGCAAGATTTTATTATTGTAAAAAATGTCAAACAGCAATGTTGCCAACATTACCATCAAATAACATAAAATCACTGCCATCAGACTCAAAAAAAATAATGGCTAATGCTTATGAAAATTATTTGAGAAGTGTAAATGCTAATAAAAATTTACAAGATCGACTTCCTGGGAAGTATAAGGAAAAGTTAAATTACCTCAAGCAGCTAATTCGGGAATACGTCCACGTATGTCGTACAAAATTGTTTCTTTGGTTATTGAAATGTGTTTGTAGGAAAATGCGGCTTTAGTTGATGAATTAGAAGAAGTACAAACTAAAATAATTATTAGGCAAGAGGAACGTAAATTTCTTTTGCGTAAATTGTGTGAATATGAACCGCAGGTGGCTGCAGAAGTCCAAAATTTGGCAAAAGCTGGATCCAATCAGACTGCATGTATAGACACTAAAAAAGGAAAAAAACGCCCCAATGTCGACCCCGGTAAATACTTTTATTCCCCTTAGAGAATAAGCAATACCTGGTGAAATGTTTTTTGTAGACAGGAAGTCAAAATCACGGAAAAACTGCAGAGCACGTAAAAAAATCGTCCAACCTATTCCTCTAGATAATACAGGACGTCCAATATTTCCCATTGAACTAGGGAATCTCACCATACATTGCTTAGGTGAAGTTGTATCAGACAGGATAGAATTTCATTCAGAAGATGTGATTTATCCAGTTGGTTTTATTTCTACTAGAAATTACGGTAGTTTGGACGACCCCACAGTGAAATGTATTTATAGTTGCAAAATTTCTGAAGTTAACGGCTTGCCAAGGTACTGTTTGTATTAGTGAATCTCTCAAAAAATTATTGTTCAACATTTTAGATTTGAAATTGAAATGGATGACAATTCGAACCCCATCATAGGAGACACTCCTGATGTGTGTCACTCCCTACTTCTCCAAAAAATCAACGATGCTCTCTCCTTAAATGTGGTGAGCACAAGACCCAGAGGAAACGATTTCTTTGGTCTTTCCCACCCCACAGTATTAAACCTTTTGCAAAGCTTCCCTGGAAGTCGCAAATGCGTGAACTACAAATGGAACAAGTTTGAAGTATCGCGAAGTGGGGACATATACACTGAAGACAATGATGCAGCCCTCAGTTACGAATATTTGCAAAGAAGTATTAATTTCTGTAAATATAAAATGGCACCTGACATACTCCAGAAACCATCAGATGAGTTTATAGATCATAAGGAGAAATTGCACGATTACTTATTAAATAATTAAGTTTATTTCAATAAAATATCAAGGTAAAAAATCAATCACATCTTGTAATTAAAAAATAACAAACAAAAAAGTCACAATGTTTAAATTCAAACATTCCAATTATTCCCTATATCTAGGCCGGTAAAAAAGTGTTATCAGCATAGATCATCTCCTGGGGGCTGCTGGTCTATGGATCTGTATTTTTTTTTCTTTGCCTATAAGGCTAAATAAAGTGTTGGATAATGCGATCACTGGTGAAAAAATTTTAATACGCGAACTGCAACAAATTGAAGTTTATTAAGACTTTTTTTTATAATACGTACCAAGATTCCACAGCAGGGTTTGCTTCATTTGCACTAATTATATACAATGGAAACAACATTGAAAAAATGCAGCCACTACAAATAATATTTAGACTGTGACATTATTCATAATAAAAATGTACTTAATTATCCACGAATTTGATATTTGTGTGAGCAATACAAGAGGCAATCCAAATCCAATAAAATACGGCCAATGCGTCTCAATACAAGTTAATCTTTTGTGAATTTCCCAACCCATTTCGCCCCATTTGTACTCAAAAGCATACAGTGAGTATAAAAGGCATAAATGAATTAAATATAAGCCATATCCTAGATAATAAATGGGGCTATAAGTCATGACAAGTGCTTGAATTAAGAAAAGTGTTTCTACCACTGTACTAAATATAAAATCTGCCACTGTCTTGCTAAGACTTAGAGAGGCGTTTGATCTACCCCTACTGTACTTGTAAGCTGATTGTCCTATATCCTACAATAAAGCAAAATAAAAATTTAAAAACACAGCTACGACTGGACTTACTTGAAACCATAAATTGTTTATAAATTTTGAAATAGCAAATAATGGGACAACCCAAATGGTTTGAAATGTAATAGTGAGAATCAACTCCACCCAAAACCACACTGATTGTGCATTTGGTGAGTCTTTCCCGAAAATGAGCAAAATCACTCTTTTCATAGTTGGCAAGAATGCATATTCAAACAAAAGGATACTGAGCAAAAATATTGCACCGTTTAATAAACCACATTGGAATACTCTCGACATAACTGTTGATTCCCTACAAATATCAGCTTATAACAAATTTTTAGCTTTCACTAAGACCTACTCATGTTTCTGCAAAGTTCTACTAGGAGTTTGTTCACGCGATTCTGATTGTCGTCGACGAATTGGCGAACTTGAATGTGTGGGTGATAACCTAGAGAGCCTTCTCTTATTTAATTCTTTATCTAAACGAAATAGTATGTAAAACCCCTTGAAACTATCGCAAACGCCCCAAAAAACAGCTGATCCAAAACCCTACACACAATTTGTTTATTGTAAGTTGTACCATAATTTGAATTACCTTTGCTACATCCATTGTAATGATTTTTTTACGTCGTGGTTTATGTCGAAAGCATTTTACTCAACTATTACATTGCAACTTATTTTTTTTGTTATCACTTAATCAGCTGATGGCATAACCTACAATATAGACGCAGTGAATAATGATAACGTTATAACTGTATTAGAAGTAACAAATTAGACTTACCTGTTTATTTTTGTAAAACATAAAATTTTTAATAAAAAAACGCAATAATCGAAAAGAAGTTCGCAAATATTTTTGCGTCAATCTTGACTATTGCCAACTCCACGTACAGAAATTTACTAACTTCAATAATCATATAACCTCAAAAAATAATTTTAAATTATTATAATTATTTTATTTTACGTAAAATGGTAGTTTATGGTGTGTACATTGTCTCCAAATCGGGTGGTTTAATCTTCAACCTTGACCACAATGTTCCAAAAATCGAAACTGAAAAATCATTCTCCTTTCCCCTCGATATCAAATTGCGGTTAGAAAATAAGAAAATTGTAGTAGAATTCGGCCAGAGGGATGGCATTCATGGTACTCATATTTGTCAGAATTATTCCCTTAATTAAATAAATTATTTTAAGTGGGGCACGTCTTGTATGCCATAAACGGAATTCCAATCACTGGCCGCCAGTTGGACGACGGAAGAGACGCCTTTGAAGTTTTAGAAAATAAAGACAATTACCCCCTCAATCTAAAATTTGGAAGACCCAAAATGACAACAAATGAGAAAATATTTCTTGCTAGTATGTTTTACCCCCTGTTTGCTATAGCAAGTCAATTGAGTCCTGAGCCAAAATCGTCAGGGATTGAGGTTTTGGAAGCAGACACGTTTAAGTTGCATTGTTTTCAAACTCTGACGGGGGTCAAGATGATGGTGGTGGCTGATAGGAATCAGGCAGGGGTAGAGATATTGCTGAAGAGAATTTATGAAATTTATGCCGACTATGCGCTAAAAAATCCGTTTTATTCGCTGGAAATGCCTATAAGGTGTGAGTTGTTTGATCTCAATTTGAAGAGTATTTTGGATCAGCTCGAGAAATCGGGGATTTCCAATATTTAGAATTTTAATTAATGTAATTATTATCGATTTCTACTATGAGTATGTAAAAATAATAATATAAATATTTATAACACCCTGTGATAATTAACAGTTCTTTATTATTTCTACCTAAAATTAAAACAAAAAACGATAACGAAAACTCTTTTGTTAAGCTAATGTTACTCAAGTCCGTATACGAAGTGTTTTCCAGATATTAATTTTAAAAAGTTTACGCAAATTTGATACGGTTCATCAGGCGGTAGAGTAATATTTTTTTGCAAAATGAATCACATTTATGACCACGTTTTCTTTTTGGTGATTGAGCACAGTAACAAGAAAATTGCTACATAAATGCTTCTTGTTATCTATGACACATGATATAAATCATCATTAAATTTACTACTAAAACAGCTAAAAATAAAATATTGCAAACAAATTTTTATTTCATCTTAACAAAACTCGTATCTAATTAAAAAAAAAAAAACTACAAAAAAAAACAGTTTTCCTCTACACAGGATGAAAAGAAGAGGATATTTACATTTTTCATAAAAAAATAAAAAACGCCAATTCATGCCTAAAATTGATTTATGCTAATCACATATTCAATCAATCTAAATTATTATTTATGTACGACATTGTAAGGTTTAACGCTCAAACATCAGGTAAAATTAGTAATAGATGTAGTGTTATTAGTTATTACACTTTTTTTTAATTATTTTTATTTAAAAAATAGTCGGGAGATATTTTATTGCACGAGGCATAACTGAAATTCTTGAAATTTGGGATTAACTTTTTTTTTGAATTCATAAAAAAGCATCAGTGTATCCACTAATTACTATTACCATATTGCACCCAAAACCCCAAATTATTTTCAGAGTGGAGCAGTATATCACTTTTGAAATAAATATGTAGTTCAGAAATTACATACCAAAGATACTGATCTTGATGAGAAAATTTTGCCTCGGGTGTTATATACAGGTCCGACTTTTGAAAGCTGTTACAAGAACTCCTCAGCAATTGATGTGTACTTTCATTTTAAACAATATTAGCAATTAAAATGCTTCATATAAAAAAGTACCCATTCTTAAGTCTGCGAAAAATTTCATAATTAATTTAATTTAACAAACAAATTGATTAAAAATCGAGGGACAACCCTGTAGAAATATTTTTGGCGCGAATAGGAATACCATTCATGGGAACATTCCTCAGGAGCTACTCATACAATCATTATCATACTGTCCGCATTCCTAACTGCGGAACAAGATTTTTATGAACGAACCTCCCCCTCTTTACAATAAAAATTACGTGATAGTTCAAGTCTTGGTTTAAATTCCATTTCACCGGTTTTTTTTTTTTCAGCAGAGGTCCAGAGTACTATTTTTATTTGTTGCATTTACTGTTGCGAGAATTCAGTGACACTAGTATTCGAATTATTTCATTATGTAACATTTGGCTTGGTAAATAAAATTCGTGGAATCGACTACAACATAATTAACCACAAAATAACTGAACATGTTTTAAAAATGATCCCACGTGCCTTGTAAATAAGATATTACCAAACCGAATTGCCACACAAATTAATAGGTCTCTAGGTAAAGGGATCGCGAATTAACCTACCTGTTTTTCTCAACTACAATTTTTTATTATGTAATTATTTGTTACTTAAAAAAACTACAAGGTTTTCCAACTGTTTTACAGTTGGCTAAATTATTCTACCGCGACTTTTTTTCTTATTTTGATTATTATTTCACCACACATTAATTCACCTTCGTGTTTTAGTGGTGGTTTATTTATAGTGTAATAATTGGCCACACACCTTAAAGCCACGTGTGTGGACCAGTATGACCAATATCGATACCTAATTTTTGTCTTAGAGGTGGGCTGTTCCTCTTGGTTTATTTCTTGGAAAATCTAAAGGTCAAAACCGTTCGAAAGGATTTGCTTTCTCGATTGTTTTAGGATTTCTTAATTGTTGGAATAATAGTGAATGACTTGCATGAATTAATTTTATTAAAATTGTTTATTTTCTAGTTTTCTGTGTCGCTCACGATACAACCGTTTTTTTTATTTTCTTGAGTTTTAAACTATAATTGCTTGTGGGTTTTAACAGTACCTCACCTAAAGAGGCGCCAGAAATAATAGCGACTATATCGTGCGGATAAACCGCAAACTTCCTGTGTGTTTTGCATGTGTTAAGTTGGCACCAGCTCCAAAACCACGAGTCCAGTCTCCCGCTGTCGGAGTCGCTTCTCTCCATTTCTAAGAATTGCTTTCAAAAATGGTAATATTGCTGATGGAAACCTAATTACATGCTTTATAAAACGTCAGCGTTTGATAAATAACGTATTGCTCTCTATTCGTTTATTGTTTCGCCGCCTGTTTGCCAATTTCATAGAACGATTTACTTTTTGGTTTTGCCGCTTTTTACCGCTTCCGATTTTATCGCTCGTCTTTACCACCCAAGAGCCTCACATCAGATTTTCAATGTTTTATTGCAGGATTGGTGGACGTCATAAAATCTGAATGTCACTCAGTTGTTTTGACCGCAAATATTTTAACAATTCGGGACGAAATTTATGTGCCATATACCTAACAATATCCTTAGTCATATTTCATGCCAAAACCGTTCGACCAAGGTGGTATCGTTCGTCTGATTGATACACTAAAAAGCTAATCCATTCCCAAGTTGTTGGCATCACTAATCAAGTGGAGAATGAGCGGCGAACTTGCTTTAATCCTTCAATAAATATAACTTTTTTTATTGTTCTTTTAAAAAATTGAGGTTTAAACTAGTGAATAGTAGTGCAATAGACAACGATTGTTCACCATATGTAACCAATTTATTTTTAAGTTTCAAGAATCTCATCTTGGCGCCGACTAAAGGTGATTCATAAAAATCATCCTAATTATTCATGAATACCAGGAAATTATTTGCACTTAATGGTGCAAAATAGTGTAGGAGCAGGAAGTTTATCCGCAAATATTTATTTGTTATGTTTAAAATTATGTAACTAATTTATAAAAAAATTAAACTTCAAAAATTAATTGAATTGAAGACAATAATTAATAAATTAATAATAATAAATGAGATATTAAACAACTTTTTTCCATCTATTTTCAATAGATCTATATGCAATAGAAGGCCATTCAATACAACAAAAAAATACATATTTGTGATATTTTTTAAATTCTAAATACTCAAATTAAAGAAAAAAAATGGTTATGACAAGATTCGAACCTACATCTTGTAGAATCCTTCACGCCTAACTTAATCGTGACCCCACAAAAGATAGCATTTATATGTTGCAACGTCTTTATAAAGGTCACATTTGTTCTAATTTTAGAATCTCAGTGCATTGTAAAAATAATCTAACAACCGTGTTTGTTAACGACAAAAAGAGATGATTCATTTATGACGTCTTGCAAACTCATAAAGTAACTATATCTCAATTATTTCTTAATAATTTTGATGAAACATTGAAAAAAGTGATTCGCGGAATTGATAAAAATTTGCATAAATTGTCATAAGTAAATAATTAATATTTAAATTTAGCTTCATTATCAATAATGGCTTTTGACCATAATTTAAATGATCCAATAGAATTCTAACAAAATAGGTTCGAAGCTATTACTCATCTGTATTCAAGCGCGCTACATTTTAGAAATTTTAATTGCTTCTTGTTCGAGAACGTGGTGATATAATTTGTTAGTAGCTGAATATTAAATAAAATAAAGTTAATAAGACAAGGATGAAAATCTGACAAATAAAATCGAGTTTATATCTTTTTAAGCCACTAATTTACGATACAACGCGAGATTTGTTAAAGCTTTCCATCCTAATGGAAGATCGTTTCGGTTCCTTTTATCGTGTAAGGACAATGCCGAATTTCGGCAAGGTTAAACAACAATAACAAACAACCCACACATCCTGTTTTAATAATGTTCTGTGAGAAAGAACAACTTAATAATTTATAGTAATAAATCCTGTGGGTAAAATCCGCCTTTTGCAAAATCGGTCCAATGAAAATGTCGATATCAATTTTTTGTGTTAAAGAGGAGTGCCGTTCTTTTTTGGGTACTAGAGTTTTAGCCAATTGATGGTTGCTTCAACTTCATTCATAACAACTGGTTTAAGAAGGTGTTTATTTCAGTACTACAGCAGCATCCGCAGCTTACGTGCACAGTTCAATGTGCAAAACCGAGCGGAAGATAATTAAGTTGCAAAAAAGAGGATGTAAGACATAAAATTCGGTGGGTTTTCCCGAAACTTGACCGCCAAGAAGTAAATTGCATTGAAAGTCGGGTGCGTTGCTCATATGAAATTAAACTTTTCCGGGAAATTGATGCGTGAATCAGTTAGCAATGATCTCTGAAAGTGGTGAATCAACGGCCAGTAGAACTGTTGGTTTCACATCGGCTGGTGAGGATTCATTGTTCCACAAACTGAAAACTTCCGAATTGCTCAAACATCTGCTGAAAAAATCGGGTGATTCACAAAATGATTCAGTAAATAAATTCGCGAAGGTACCGCCGAAAATCAGTCCGCATCTCGAATCAGTGCTAAGTGGTGCCAAAGACTCCGATAATGGGATTATGGACAAATCGTGTGACAGTGATGGTGAAGTGCGGAATTACAGAGACAACTTGCAGCGGTTTCTCAGTGACGAAAGCTCGCAGTCGAATCAAAATGACGGATTGTCCGAAGAGGAGCTTCCGGTTATACCGGATGAAGGGTTATTCAATGAAACCGTCGATTACATACTCGCAGAAGCCGAAAAGAATCTTCACATACAATCGCCACCTTCTAGTCAAGTGTCGCAAGACAGCGATAGCTACGAATTCACGGAATTGCTGCCAGTTTCAAAACTGGCATTTTTCGAAACGTCTTTTTCGCCACAGCCATCAACGTCAAAGAATGATGTTTCACCTGGCGCCACGTTTGATCCGACGGCTGCCGATGATAGTTTAAGGAAATCTACAGACAGTATTAACACAAGCCAAAAATCTGCTGGAAATAACAGCGACAGTGATAGCGATATTGATAATGAAATGGTTTTAGTTCCTTCCGGTAAGTTTAGCCAAAAATCCCAGTTTTTACTGAAATAAGTTTCTACAAATATGTATATGTACTTAAAATAAAAAGAAATATATTTTTGTTGATGAGGTAGTTGTTTATTTTTCCGACGGCAACTAATTTTAAACTATAACATACCTACATTTTAAAATGAAGGCTAATTTCTACAATTTTAACAACTGTAGGCGATTTATGTGTTTATATTCTGCAATAAAATATTTATAATGGAAGAAACAATAAATATGTAATAAGAAATGTAGTGTGTATAAGTAGGTATATGTGTTATTACGTAAATACAGAGTGTCCCAGGGTTTATTGATTAATTACTTTGATATTAATAAAAAAAAAATCAAGTTATCACTTTAAAAGAATATTACAGATTCCAGAAAAAAATCTTAGGAAAATCACTTTTAATAGAGTTTGTCTTATTTAAATGTCAAAAAACTTTTTATTAATTAGAAATTGTTTGTAGAAACTAATTAAACCAGCACTTCATAGAATAGAATACATTGTACTCTTTTTCTAATAAACACATAGACCTATGAAAATAGTATATTATACATAAAGGTGCTTGAGGGCTATAAAACACCAAAGGAATAATAGCATTTCTCTCCAATGGTCAAAAATTTTTGATATTTATTTTTTGACATTTGACATGTTATAACTTCGAAATTTTTATAGATAGAATTTTTTTAACATTTTTCCATATTCCTAGTATCTTACCTTACATGGTATTTCTCTTTGGGGCGAGAGTTCTGGCGCATTCTGTATATGAAAACTAAAATCATTAAGAAAGCTTTCAATAAATACAAAAAACTTACAAGTTTTAATAGCAACGTTTTCTTTTTTCTTCAAAATTACTTTTTCCGCTTTTTTTTGAAATTTGCTGAGAAAGTGTTAACACACCTAAAATAATTACCTGCCTATTTAATATGCCTGTGTGGTGCATAAAAATTAAAAACCACTTTAATTGAATTTTAAATTAAGTGAAATGAGTAATAAATCTCAAAATTAAAAATACAAAAAAAAATACATTTTTTGATGACCAGTTGTCATCACTTGAAAATAATTCACTATTTAAATTCTAGAATCAAGACAATTTTTACATAACAGGCCTGTGTAGGTATTTGTAAAATTTTATCTTAACGAAAAGAAAATCAATCAAAAAACCGTAATTTTAGATTTTTCTACGTTGTCTTTCTAAATTAGATTTTAACATTAAAGATGCAAAAATTCAATTTTTAGTATTTACTTTTAATAATTATCACAATATTATATTATTGCTGGATGTAGGTAGTCAATACATTTTCTAATAAACATGTGTGGATTATTTAATAATAGTATATTATGTTGTTAGGAGTAAAAGTGATAGTTTATGTTTAAATAATTCATTTGAGCCACATAAACTCACTTTTACTCCAAACAGCATATACTATTTATTTTATCTGCAAACGTATTCAGATCGAGAGTGAAGAGCAACACTATAATTAGCAAGTAAATGAACAAAATAATCAGAACGCTTTGCAATGAAATCATAACAAACATCAATGTCGAATGCTGATCATCTACAATATACCTCTCTAGACACTGCTGAAACAGCTTAAGAGACCACATTGGTTAATGTCATGGTAAAAGTTAAAAACTAAATTTTTATTCCACGCCTGAAAGGTAAAACTTTTACTTGTGACATTTAGTCATAAAAATAATAGTAAAAGTGATACTTTTTAAATTCTTTAATGTAATATTTTTAAGTCTACAACCACATAGCCGAAAGAAAAAAAAAATAATTAAAAAATTTGCAGTACACTTTTTTTCTTGTTTCTATTTTTAGTATCTTGTTCCTGTTAGAAGCCACTTAGCAGTTTTTCAATCATTTCAAATTACAATGCCCTATTATTATTTAATAAACTCTTCCATGTTCCATCATTTAATAACCCCCTTTTCTCCGTTCAGATCCCCTCGAATGGACCAACACCCATATTAAATCTTGGCTGTCATGGTGTTCTCGGAAATTCTCACTAAATCCGAAACCCGATTTCGAGAAGTTCCCCACGACCGGAAAAGAACTATGCGAACTAACAAGAACTGATTTCGAAGCCAAAGCAGGTTGTGCAAGAACCGGCACGATTCTTGCCAAACACATCGCTCATCTTCGCCACAGCGTCACTGGAAGATCCACCAGTCCCCTAAACGTCGAATGTAAAGTCTTCGAAGACGACGATGACGACGAGAAAGGTACGAGTTGAAATTAAAACGCTTAATTAACTCTGAAGGTCCAAAAAGACCGGACGTTATTTCCCCCCAGGGAGATTTCAAGATTTCAAATCATTGGCGTCCTTATCGATGATTGCTATTTTGGGGTGGGAATGGTCGAAGTTTCAAATTTTCCTTGCGAATATTTCGCTTGTGTCACAAGTCGGGGTCGAATGCAGTAAACACTTCCAAGAATAGGCAAGGTGGTTGTGAGGTTGGAATTAAAAGTTGTGGGTTTTCCGATGCAGGAAGACCGACAAGTGCATACTGATTGTTATTCTAAATGGTTTCGGTGACGAAAACCAAAATTGGTACCTCTCAAGCATCAGAAACAATTAGTACAAAATAAACTAATCACGTTTTTAATTTAGCGCATCCACCATTTAACTGATATTTAGTAAATAAATCACAAATCAAAAACATAATGCATTAGTTGTCTGTTTTTTGTTGTGTAAATCTACGCAATAATCTGTATAATCATATATGGGCATCCCTTTCTGATAAGTGGAAAATTAAATTTGATGCTTGTATTGTCTAAATCCGGCATTTATCCTGGCGTCAAGTCGTGTGATCCCTGGTGCATTTAGAGCGTATAATAATGCAATTATCGCGTTGATACGTCTAGATATTTATCAAGGGTCGAGCTCATTCATATTTTCTCACTCTGTTTGATATAAAATGATCATTAATATTGTGGCATTATCTGGAATGTGGAAAGTTTCGGAAGTACGCCGGTGTTGAGGAAGGAAACTCGGCACGTAGGAAGGAAGGAAGGGTGGCGGGAACGAGTTATATATTACCCTTATAGAGCTCTTGCTGAATTTCAAGTGGTATTTACTCCGGCTTTTCTCTTCTTTTACTTCGGTCGAAGGTTGAATGTCGCCTCGTAAAATTAACATGTGACAAGGGTTACTTTTTAATATTGTATGACGTCTTATGATTGTTTGAAACGGTCACTGATTTGATAAAATCATGTGTTACGTACTTAAGATTATTATTCAGTCGCTTATCAAGACCGTACAATTGTTAAATGTGATAATAGCTTTTCCGAAGGGTTCAATTTACTTCTTTCTTCCTCTACGTAATCGTTTCCATTTCCAATTCCAGTCGTTTTCCGGCAAAACCGATTTACGCGTTCCGGAGGGTTCTTATCAGTCTTATCGTTAAATTGCTTAATAGATTTAGGCACATTTACAGTCAGGGAAACAAACATTGCGCATAAATTACTTAATTTTTATGCCCCAATCTCGCCGTTGAAAAAAATCTATGTAAAAATTATCTTCTTAAACAATGTAATTTTCGCATAGAGCAAATGTGTACATGTAGGAATGATACGTTTTTTAAAGAGGCGAATTAAAAGGAAAAAAACTCATCATAAAAATTGGATATATCATAAAAAGTGCAGAAATTTAAGTTGTTATCTTTTGATAAAACTTTATTTTTTCTTTAAACAACTGTTTATATAAAAAAATCGAATCCCTTTTATTTGATCTTATGCAGGGTGTATCAAAAATACGTCTGTTAATTTTAACACGTGAAAGAACTCAGCAAGTAAATCAACTTTTCTATAGGTATAACATTTTGCAAAATTGTTATTAATTGTTTTTATTGTTTTTCCCAGAATTTTGTGTAAACATGCCGTTCAATGTTAATAAATAATCACAACAATGCAGTTCTTTTAATGTAGTTTCGTTTCTATCACAACGAAAATATTTCGGAACTTTTAATTTGAGGCACCCGCCGTTTTGATATGTTATCTTTTCCAAATTTTAAGTCAAATTTGAAAGCTTTTATTGAAAACTTACAAATAGAAAAAAATTATTATTTATTGAGATGTGTTACATATTAAAATTAACACACGTATTTCTGATACACCCTGTATAATCCTGTAGTTGATCTGTTTACAAAAAGTTCATTTAAATCTATGGTAGGGTTTATTGCATCTGTCCAAAGAGTCAAATCCACTTCTTTTATTTTTAAATTTTTGATACTTTTTGAAAATTTACTTACAGTTGGAGACAAAATACTTTGGTCGTCACTTTTCTGACACTTTAATGTAATTCAAGCTTTAACGTTACAATTTCAAATTAATGACAGCGACTGTATTTTCCTATCAAAAATATGTCCAACTTGTCAAGTGTGATTGACAGTAGCTAAAATAAGGTTAACAGTCCTAAAGCATCCTTTACAATTTAATGTCACTCAAATCACATTGACGACCAAAGTATTTTGTCCCCAACTGTACTGTAAGGCAAGCTTTAATCTACACTTTTTAAACGTCAAAATGTCAAGAACACTGTGAGAATATGTTAGGTGTCAGTAGAATGTCCTTACTGTCTCATTTTTTTTTGTTCGGTATGGTACCTATATACAAGCTATTCTTCTTACTAGATCCTCTTGATATGGAAATGATAAACAAAAACACGATTTAACCCGTCACACCAAACTTTTATTTTAAACCTCAAAGTGGTCATCCTCAGGTGAGAATAAAACTCCCTCTTATTCTCACCTGAGGATGACCACTCTGTGGTTGAAACGCGTCGTATTTAAAATAAAAGTTTGGTGTGACGGGTTAAATCGTATTTTTGTTTATATGCAAGCCAATAAACATTTTTGTGTAAAATTCTGTAATTTTGTATTTTTTAAATGGTCTAAAGTTTCGATAGAAAAGCATCAGTCACAACCACCTTAAAAAAGTGTTTAAAAAACTACTACAATAATAGCACATTGGACAACTAAAATGACATATCACAATGTTGCTTTTCACAATCAAATTGGAAAAATACTTTTATTTTTAAAAATTGCTAAAATAAACAATGCGACAAAATTGCAAACTTTAAAATTTTGTGGCAAAAATTGTGTTATATGTAGGTAATGGAATGTATAGAAGGTAATGTATACCTAAATTATTAACTAAACGTTAATTTTTATTTTCTGAAAGATTGTTTAAAAACGTTTTCTACAAGTATTTAGCAAAGGTACAAGTAAATTAGGTTCTTTTTTTCTATATAAAAGTTGTTGGATATTTTGACAGGTTCGATCTAGAGGTTGGGTCTAAAATGCAAAAAAATAGAAACATTTAAATGAAAATAAAAGTGTTATTTATATCTTACATTTAAAGTTTTGTTTTGCCTAATATAAACACCGCAAGTTTGTGTCCTCCTCGGGGGAGGTTTTCGAAGCGCCACTTGGCGACTTAATTACTAGGTAATAAATAACTTAGTAGGCTAATATGGTAGTTGAAACGGCGCCCCAAATCCGGGCCGGAGATAATCCTGGCACACCAGGGTTTATCGTAATCCCGGCCCTGTCTCATTATGCAGCACAGCGGGATTCGCGATATTGTTTTCTTGATTACCTGTGCCCTTAAATTCACGCTACTTAAGCATACGAAACACCTTTAATTTTCGATTAAATTGTAACAGAGATGTGGATGATTATGAGACTAAATAAACAGTATATCGAGGAGGGACGTCGCTTTCATCCATTTCAGCGGAGACTGAGTATCAGTTTTGGGATTACACGCAGCGGGGGCACATCTAAAAGTCAAATACTGTCACTCGACCCACAGACTTTACAGGGCTTAGACGTTTGGCCCCTCGTCCTTTGTCAGACTTTTGCTCTCTTGTATTAATGGAGCCCAGAAATACCATCAATTGTTATTAACGCACAAAAAGCGCATTAATTCTTTCTTTAATCAATTTATTTTTTCTTTTATATGGGATATTTGACCTTGAACTTTGTACCCCGCTTATCAAAATTTCATCACGCACGTTTAACAATAGTTATTTTTTGTTAATTTTAAATGATAGATCACTTTGTATACCTAAATCGTTGTTACGAAATGCTTTTCACATTACAACTTTAATTCCTCTGGTATACAAAGAGGATGCTGAAGAGGAAAGCTCGGGGAAGGAAGGAAGGATGAGAGTTGAAAACTTCCTACCGCTTTGGATATTAGCCCACGTGACATATTCCAACCAATCCAACAACGTAATTTACTCACAGAATATAAATGTAAACAAATTGTTATTAATAAATAAATCCAGGAGAGAGTTAAAGAGGTTTCATCAAAAATTTTACACTGCTTTTTCCCTTTTCTGGACATGTGATCACAACCCATTTATACGTGATTAGGGTTGGATGGAGGGGGTGAATTTGAAACTGAAACGTCGGCGTCGTGGCGCCATTCCACGGTTGACTTCGGTGTGATTGAATTGAGGTGACTCTAATTCAATTTAAATTGTATTGTTGTTAAAATGTTAAGTGTATAAGTGGCAGCCATGTGGAGGCTGCCGGGTTGTAGCCCCGAAGATTTGTTAGTGGCAAGAAGACTTGCCGTTCGATCTCATCCTGTTCATCATAAACTGCATACAGGAAGCATGATCTATAACGGTATGTTGTTTACAGTAAAAACACTAAAGAAATAAGCTACCAAAGTGATTCACAAAATGAAAATAAAATAGTAATTACACTCGGATGATGATGATTATATTTATTATAAAAGCATATTATCTGCGCTTTTAATAATGTTTTTACCACCCTTTTGGATCTCCCATGTAGATGGTAGATTACTTTTATTTGATTTTATGGAAATTTGTTAGTTTTACAGTCATTCTAAAATATTTTTTAATTTCGTTTTGCAACTTTCTTTGCGTTATCAACACCCAATTTTTAGTTTCACAAAAGGAAATCCTATAATTTATTCAATGTACCTACAATTGACTTCTGAACAATTTGTAACAATTTAAGAAATCAAGTTTCACTAAAATTCTTCTAACATTTTTGGTTGTTTGGATTTTTGGATTCCTTTAACTCTTAGGTATATCATTTAAAACAAATTAACGTTTTTTGCCTGTGATTTTATACAGGGTCGCTAAAAAGTATGGATACAGCTAAATATTTTCAGAACGGTTTAGCAAGGCACGTTGAAATTTGGGAAACAGTTTATCTATTTTTTGGTCAAAGTTCATGCGGCAGAGCTAACGATAGGACAAAAAAAAACATTTTTCAAAATTTAATTAGTTCGATGATTTTTTTTTAAAATAAGGTACCTACGCATCATGTGTCGCAAAAATGCTCTTTTTAAAAATATTAAATTTGACCTTCTTAACATTAAAAAAAAAGCAAGTTAGCCTTGTATCCCCAGAACAAATGAAGATAGAAGTTTGATAAATATCTCAGGCGATACTACTTTTAAGCATATACCAAATTTCAATAAGTTTTGATAAATAGTTTTTGTAATATTTAACTGTATCCATACCTTTTAGCGAGCCTGTATATCGATTAGGAAAACATCAGAATGGACTTTGAATTTTGATGTAAGATTGAAAATTGTTGCCGTTTTCCACTCAGCTATATTCATCTACAAAAGATGAAATTGTGAAATTTTCAAAGGAACATACAGTGTCTTTCCGGATAGGTGAAACGACTCTTGTAAATAATAAAAAACGTTTTAAATTTTCCATTATAAAAAAAATTACATTTTTTTAAATTTTATTATAAATTGTGGCTTATTTTTTTATTCATAATAAAAGAAGTGTTAAAAATAAAGTTCTTTAATTTATGGAATAATAGTTAAACAAAAAAATGAAAAATTATAGTTGACCGATGATTTTGAAATTTTTGGTATAGGGGTTTAAATATTGATTCTAAACAACTTAACAACTATTTGTAATATTTGCCACATAAAAGACTTTATTCTACAGAAAAATAAGTTTTTTTGAAAATATCCAAGGCATACTTGATTTTTCAAAACCAGAATAATGTTAGACATTAGTCTTTAACCAAGCAGGGCTGAACCCTAAAGAATGAAAATTAAAATCGAGAATTTTTTAACTTTTACCTACAAGTCATTTCACCTATCCGGGGACACTATATTTTTTAAACATGACTGGATAGATTTTTTATTTAATCGTACCTAATGTTTGTTTAATTCTCTTGTGTAAAAGTAATTTCGTGTCTACATTTTTCAGTTTTTCAATTGTTATTTTTATAAAGGGATGCTGTTATCTAACTAAACATTAAAGAAAGTGCCAAAAATAAGTTCAAATAATAAATGTAAAACAGATTATCATCAAAAGAAAAGGAATGGATAGATGCCGTTTTTACAGAATTTTGAATCATTTCTTTCTTCTAAAGGAACTCACTGACATGTAACATTTGAAACAAGATGTGTTTTTTAATCTTATTTTGATTTTTTCGTATTTCCGCTTGAAAAGAGTTTTATTTCGAAGCGATTTGAAACACTAGTTTGGTGATACAAATGTAAAAAAAATTGTATAAACGGATCGGTCTGCAGTAGAAAATTCCATTGAAACCCCAGACGAGCATTCGGTTCCTAGTGTTGCGACATGATTTGATAAAAATTCAAGATATTTAAAGATGGCTTCTTTATAGATCCCTATCAACTGTTAAACGCGGCTTCAAGCCGATTGGTGGCCCAAGGATCCGGCCAGATCCAACTGTGGCAGTTTCTCTTGGAACTGCTTGGCGATTCGTCGAATTCAGCGTGTATAACGTGGGAAGGCACCAATGGAGAATTCAAGCTTACCGATCCGGACGAAGTTGCACGGAGATGGGGAGAACGAAAATCTAAACCAAATATGAACTATGATAAACTCAGCAGGGCGCTTAGGTGAGATAATAAAACGAAAACTTTCTAATACAACACGGTTTCTTGGAAAATACTGACAGATTTTACGTCAAGTAAAATATTTGCTTTGTGAAGGAATATTTACAGCAGGAAAAATTCTGATCGTTATTTGCCCACAGCTATTTTATAGCCACTTTAGACAAAAATTTAACATAAACGACAAATATGACACTTTGTATATTATTTTTTGTTTAAAATAACGAGTTAAAACAGAGTTTTTTTTCAGTATTTATTTATCCTGTTAAAAAGGGTATTTTTTGCAACTGCCCTAAAGAAAAACTGGTTAGATTTATTCCTGATAGAAAAATATCAACAATGCGATTTTACAAAAATAAATTATTTAAATCCCTATTTTTTACACAAGCCTTGTTAGAATGTTATGCAAATGTCTAGCAGTGAAACAAACAAAGTTGCCTAACATCAATCGTGTTTTTGTCCATCAGGTATTATTACGACAAGAACATAATGTCCAAAGTACACGGAAAAAGATACGCTTACAAATTCGACTTCCACGGTCTCATGGCAGCTTGCCAAGCACAGGCTCAAGGTCAGACTGATGTTACTCCAGGATACCATAAATATCAACCCCACCAAAGTGAATTAGGAGCAGCTTTGTATCCCACAGGACACACTACCGCTGCCAAAATACCCAGCATCCTTCCTCCGGGTGCACAACACGCCCAAACAGGATTATTCCCACCGCCTAGTTACTGGCCCTATTCACCTGGATCATTCGATCCCAGAGGACCTTTTAATTGAGTAACATTCCAAATGATTTGTTTTTGGTCAAGTTATAATGTTAGAAATATTTAGAGTAAGTACTTATGTTACGTTTGTGTATATTGAGATTAAGTTCCTTGTTTTTTAAATAAATTGTACATATTGTGTTTGAATGTTGGTGTTTGATTATAGTTATGTAGATAATTGTAATGTTTCTAATTTGAGTAATCTGTTAGTAAAAATTATTTTGAAAGAAAAAGTTTGTTTCATTTCTTTATTGCGTAACTAGTTACAAGAGTTAAATGTTGTGGGTGCACTACAATTTAAATAATTTCAGTCACATGACTGCATATTGGTAATAGAATCAATTTAAGTAATGCACGAGTAGGGAAGACAAGAGTGGCAATTACAGTAACCTTGCACCAGTTGTAGGCGACAAAAGATAAGAACGTCCGTTGCAGGAAGCACTTATCAAATAAAGTTAGTGATGTTCAATGAACGATCATCATCTCGGAGAACTTCAGTATGATTTAGTCTCGTAGAATGGCAAACATACTGAAGTTGATGATTGTGGTGTGTGGTTTTTGGGGACCGGATGTAGCATTCGCAGGATTTACCACCAGAAGTAAGAATGATTTGTAACTTTCTCGTCGCAATGAGACTTAATTAGTTGTTTCACCCTGTCAAGCAACACTTTTTTCAACCAATCACATTGCTTGTTTTTGAAACTATCAAATCGATAAATAATTAAATAAATTTCACTTGATTTTTACACTAAACCCAAAATTTGATGTGTTTACATTTTTAGTTCTTACTTTGTGAGTTTTAACTTTTTACAAAAAAGTGTGAGTGGATTAGAGAAAAATGGTGGCGGCGCCGGGTTTTAGATAGCAAAATTTCAAACATTTTAAAAATAGTAAGTGATTTTATAAACTCTCTCAGGATGTAGACCACTTGGGCGATAACTAAAAAGAACAAAACAAACTTGACAGTTTAATCGGTTTATTATCTTGCAGAACTGGGGCCACAACCCATATGGAATTCCACTGTCACTGATAAGTTAAGACAAGACCTCCTGCTTAATTATGATAAATTTGCAAGGCCAGCACAACACTACAACACAACTAAAGTCGTCTTTGGTTTAACAATAAGACACATCGAACTTAATGAATTTAAATCGACACTTGTGGTCCATTCGTGGATACGTTTGGTATTTGAATAAATTAAAATCAATGCTATTACTGGAAAATCATTTTAGAGTTGGAAAGACGAGAAGCTAAGATGGAATTCGACAAATTACGGCGGACTTACAACACTCAATTTAGCCGATCATGAAATTTGGCAACCTGATATATTTTTATACAATAGTGCAACAAGTTCTGGAATTACTCATTATGGTAATGTTAATTGTATTGTTTACGAAGATGGGGATGTTTTGTGGGTTCCACCGGCACAGTTTAGTGTTTTATGCAATTTAAATTTGAAATATTGGCCTTTTGATACACAACAGTGTGAAATGATTTTTGGATCGTGGACGTATAATGGGGATCAAATAGACATTGACCTTCCAAATAACGAAGGAGTAAAGGTAACAACAAAAAAATGGGTATTTATTTGTTTGAAAAAGTATTTACAGCTGGAACTTTTGATTGAAAATTCGGAATGGAATATAGTTGACACGTCCTTAAAAAAGAATTTAAAATATTACCCTTGTTGTCCAAGTCCTTATCCGGATATTACAGTCGATCTTTCTCTCAGTCGAATTTCGCCCTCCTATAAAGCCCTTATTGTTACACCAGCTTTCGGTAACACTTATCGACTTAATAATAAACAACAATAATTTTTTTTTTCAGTTGTGATAATTTTAGTATTAGTAAATTTTTGGCTGCCACCACAAGCAGGCGAAAAACTTATTCTGAATGGTTGTACGGCTTTGATTATTTGTTTATTTATGTTGTATTTCACACAGAAGATTCCCACTATGGGTACACACACACCCTTAATTGGTAAAACTATACAAAAAATAGTCACACATTTTTTTTTAATTTCACTTTCAGTATTATTTTACAGTAGTTGTTTATACGTAGTCGGATTTTCAATAATCACTTCGGTAATAGTAATTTGGTTATCGAGAACTAAACACAGTTCACCACTACCCTGGATTATTAAACAACCGTTAACTGGAACATTTGGAAAAATGCTAGGGCTGCAAACTTATATTCAACAGGTGAAACTGCTACAATTCTTACTAATTAATACGTAATTTGTTTTAGTCGTCAATGACGTCTCACAGAGTCACAGCTGAAGAAATGCGCGACCACCAAGTAACCGATTTTGACGAAAATAATAGTGGAGACGAACACCACATAATAAAATCATCAAATAAAATGTCCATACAGCAAGATTGGATTTTGTTAGCAGCGGCAATAGACCGGATAACTTTCTGCTTTTTTTGTTTCGTATTCATCATTTTAACTATAGTTTACTCGGTGTAAAATTGTGATTTTGAACAATAAAATCTTGTAGTAACTGTTTTGGATAATTCAGGAAATAAAAGCGCTTCATGTTGTTCAGTTTATTATTTAAAATAATTTAATTACAAGAAAAATTGCAGAAAAACTATATAGTTAATTTATTTACGACGATACCTCCTCATTTGCCCCATCAAACTCCAGTTTAACCTCTTCATGTAACCCTTCCACATCAACTTCTGATTCAGCTGCATTTAACATATTTAAAGTAACTTCCGATTTAATCATTGGTGGTTGCACATTCTGTTGGGTAACTGTATTCAGCTGTCTTACTGGTAACCCCGCGTCTTCAAACGCTTTCTTCTTTAATGCCGTCCTAATCTGTGACCTAAACAAAACCCCTTGAAATAAAAATCTCCAGAAATGAAGAAATTGGGATGACTTACACTGTCCGCCGCTTAATATGTTCACTAATTTGATTTAAACCATCGGAAAATTGTTTAACTACCTGTCTAAGCATCTCAATTTCTTCATCGGTCCATTTGCTGGATCAAAAGAGTCAAAACTTGAATCTTTCCCAACAATGCAACTTACCCTGATTGAGACTCTACATTGGGGTGTAATTGCATAGTGAGGTCCCCCAGTCTGTTAAAAGCTTGACCTGCGGCCGTAAAAATCTCACCCACCTTAAAATTATCACGAAATGTGTAAAATTTATCTTAAACTCAGCCAGTATCTGGACGCATAACCTCACTTATTTAGGATTATTTCATATACTCACCTTGCTTGCCGAACTCATTTCTAATTACGTTGAGGAGCAATACTTATCTCAAAATGATTTGTAAAGTAAATATGGTGAATATTTAGTAGAAACGATATTTTATTTTCTATTATTTCAATCGGCTTGTTTGTGTTTCGCTTCTTTTTGGCGCCATCTACATGTCAGGCATCTTTGTCAAGGTCATAAGTAATTTATTCTTCTCATGAATAAATAATTATTATTCAACAGTTTAGTAATGATATAATTATGTTAACATGTGTGTATAAATAAATATCTACATTTCATGTTTTTTTTAACAATCATTTTCATGAGAAGATTACCATACTTTTAGATGTTGGCGACACTGACAAAGTTGAGAAATTTTTTAAAAAGTAATTTTAGATTTTTTTGTAAAATAATTAGAGTTGTTTATGTAAAGATTTATTAGATTAATCTTTAACAATAACAGCAAGGTGTAGAAAACACAACACGGTTAAAATAGAAAAAATTGCAATAAAATATAAAAATAAGTAGGATTTCAGCAAAAATAAAACTGGAATGAATGACCATTATCCTTAAAATTGACAAAAACACACTACGGATAATTAATTAAAGTAAAACGAATGTGTCTTAGCTTGTTTAGCATTAATTTCTAGTGTAAGTAGTCTAACAAGCGACTATGACTGTAACTATAACTTGATATGTTCTTTAAGTCATTGAATTCTATAAAAAGCAGAAATTTGGTTAATACTGTAATTGTGCCTTAATTTAGTCAATACTGAAATTCATCTGCAAGTAGAGCGGTGTCTGAATATGCGCTAGTGGTATAAATAAAAAATAAATAAAACAGTTTACAAACAAAAACTAGATGACTATTACATTAAGTTAAACAATTCAACTCAAACGTAAAATTATGGATTAGGTATGTTAAGGACATTGTAATATACAATGTACACAAAATTTGTATAAACTGTAATAAAGGTTTATAAAAGTTCTCAACCATCAAAAATTCAATAAAAAAATATTTTGCCTATGTATCAAAATTTTTAACAAGCAGACGTAATTAAGCTATAAATTTGATTCAAAACTTAATCGACATACACCTTGATTTTGTCATAATCGATAGGTTCGGGATTGATCGGTTTGCGCGAATATTTCAATCCTAACTCATCTGCGACTTTCTCGATAACATCCAAGGCGTAGTCTAGTTGTTCTTTGGTATGTGCTGCTGATAGACAGATCCTTATTCGGCCTTCCATCAACGGCGTCGCCGGATATCCGACACCGACCGTTGCAATTTTTTCCTTAATCAAAGTCCTGACCATAGCACTGCAACCAAAAAATCCATTTATAACCCCAACCAATCAAAACCCACTCACGCAATCTTCGAGTAGAGGTAAACAAGAATAGGGACAACCGGCGAATCCTCATTTCCATGTATAATAATCCCCATTTGTTCAATCCTTCTCCTAAAATATCGCGTATTCCGTGCCAGCGTTTCGATCCTCTTCTGTCCTTCATTAGTACCGTCTCGGCCCATAAGTATCTTCAAAACAGCGATGATTTGAGCAGCTACAGGTGGCGCCATTGCCCAGGCATGCTTCGAAGCAAAACTATTTTTCCGCAAAAAATCTATCAATTCTTTGGTTCCAGCTATGTAGCCCCCAGCTGATCCAAAACTTTTAGTGAAAGTCCCCATTAGAATATCTATATCTTTAGGATCACAACCGAAATAATCAACGATGCCTCGGCCGTGTTTGCCCATTGCACCGATACTATGCGCTTCATCTAAATATAAATAAGCTTTGTACTTCTTTTTAAGTGCTATTATCTCAGGTAAACGAACAATTGTGCCCTCCATACTATAAACACCTTCGACCACAATCAGAATTTTCTTCCACGGCTTGTACACACCTCCTTGATTCGGCTGACCTTTGTAGATGCTTTCGCGAAGGATTTGCTCCAGATGTTTGACATCTATAAAAATTTCATTATCAATAAATCGACTCCAGCCAATTCGATTAACCGTTATGTTTGAAAACTTTGACGGTGGCTCCGGGTAAACGTATTCCCAAGATGAGAGAAGCGTGGTTTTTCTCGTCGCTGATAACGAGACAACCTGGTGATAACAATGTTGGAATGTTGAGTGCGTTTGTTGCAAAGCCCATTCCGAATGTAATTGCATCTTCGACGCCCAAAAATTCCGCTGTTAACTTTTCCAGTTCGACGTGTAAGTCACAAGTACCGTATTGCTGTCTAGTGCCACCGGTGGTCACTCCATATTTGTAAATCGACTCGATTGCAAACTCGGCACAGGGGCCGGAATTTTCCGCAAAACCGAGATAATTGTACGACGCCAAGTTCAAGCATTTGGTTTTAGAGCCGGTGAACCTGGCGAAAATTAAAAAAAAAATGTTTTATTCCGTCAAAAACATTTTAATATAAAATTATGCAAACTCACTCGAAGGTCCATCCGTTGTCATTAGTGACTCTATTTTTCAAAACCACTTCATTCCCTGGCACACTGCAGATGGGGTAATTCCAACAATCCCGTATTCTTCTGTAGACATATCGCGAGTAAAAACTTGCAAATCTATCGAATAAGGGAAGATACCCATCTCTATTTTTCTCTTTAACTATCTTTGGTGGAAACAATGCTTGACTCAAATATCCCAGAAACATCAAAATGTAGAAACTAATGTGTGTTAATGCCGCGGTAAGAAGCGTCGGTGGCTCGAAGGATTCTTTCAAAATTCGTGTTTTTGGTGTCGGTTCCTTTAAAGTACTTTTTATGTATCTCTGGAATTAAAATAGATATTTTTATACGAAGACAAACCAAGAATGTTTGTTTGATTAAATAAGAGAATAGTAAGCATGAAAATCAGAAATTTTGATGTTATCAGTAATGTACTCGATATTTGGTACGAAATGAATCATTATTTGCCTTGTCAAATCGAGATCTCTTATCTCACTAATCGTATTATGTGTCCAGCTATCATTATTATTTTTCATAAATGAAAAAACTCGAAATTAGATTTCCGAACTTACCTTATTCATTTCACAAGTCGCGTATGACCATTTTTACTATAGTTTTTGGTTGGTTATCTCAGAGTATTCAATTTTTTATTTTAATACTTAAATTGTGTCCGTTTGCAATAATGCAACGTTTTGAATGTAACTGAGAGAAAAGGAATTAAATATTTTATATTTGTAAATGATTAATGGGAAGACATAAAATTGTAGTGTTGATAGCCACTTTAATAAACGAAAACAAAAAGTCGTAAAAACTACCCAAAATTTCTAATTAACTTTATGAACATGTTTTGACCTTCAAATAATACAACTCAATGACAATGTTTTATATAAATGAGTAGGTATAACGAATGATAAAGACCGATATTTTGTAAAAAAAAAATGCAAAAACGTATGATAACCCATGTCATATAAGTGAAAAGTATAGTTCTTTCTTTTATCAAACCTGATGTTGTATACAAAGTAACATAAGTAAAAATAAAGATAAAAATTTAAAAAAAAATAAAAACCTTTGGTAACAAGAAACATTTATCACAATTAACATTCAAAGTTTAATGTAAATATTCAAATGTGAAAAAAAAACTATGATAATATTAATTAATTAATAAAATAAAAATGTAATCTTGAGTGATAGTACCGCAATGCAAACATTTACACGTAGAGGAAATAAACTGTGTGCACCTCGTTAAATGTTTTCAATGTCGAAAATCATAAGTGAATTATTTGTTGATCTCCAAGGAGGAATATTTTACTACTTGGCGCATGCAGATTTAAATTTTCCGAGTGATTTTCTGGGTCAAATAATGAATGTGTGCACATGTTGAGAGAATTATCTCACAAAATAAAAGCTTTAATGTTAACGATTACATTTTTAGTGTGTGTTATTAGCCGTCTTATGAGTTGAACTACTGGAAAACTAACAATTATCAAATTTTACGTGTTTATACGTTGTAAACACGTGGTAGAGATTATGTTTATGCAGCTAATATATATTCTAATCAAGAATAAACATTAGAATAATAAAAAAACAATTAAGTTTATTGAAAATAAATGCTTGGATTATACTATGAAGGTGAAAGTAAATGTGTAATGCTGTAATATTTGTTTCATCCTTATCTGAAAATTCGTGTTACTTAATCTCTATAGTATAGATAAGTATGGCTCATCGCGTTCTTAGAAAATTTAAATCAAAAATATTCACTGAAATCGTTGCGTTGTTGGAATTTTTTAAGAAAAATAAACACGCTGCGACTTAATAAAGTAGCAATAAATAATTTTGTCGGCGTAAAAATAGACTCACGTTTTTTATTGGTCCCTTTTTGGAGGTGCATTCTTCATCAGAGGATGCCTGAAAAATAAATACAATGAGATTCAGAAAAATGTAGGCCAATATTTAATTACCAGCACATGTCCATTCTGCTCAGATCCTCTGTACCCATTCCTTTTATTGATACACTGCAAGGATAATAATAAATTATTGATAATAAAGATCAATTTCATTTGGTCAGCACTAATGAAATGTTAATAGCTTGATGAGCCACCCAAAAAGCCGGAAAACGTGCCGACTATCTAGAAATAAATATTTACCGTATATCCATTTGCGAAGCTGCCCGAGTACGGGCCGTATCCGTTCGAAATGACCTTTTGGTGTTTAGTATTTTCGAAATCTACCCCACTTAGTAGCTCTGTAACAGCTTCACCTGCACCCTCTTCCATTCTCGTTTCTATACTGAAGATTTCACAACGCATGCGTCCACATTTTACAAACGCAAATTTTTTGTTGGTTGATAGCGACTCGCGTGATACCTTGCAGCAACCTTGTATTCAAAAATTTGCGGTCCATTCCCAATTTACCAAAAATACTAAAACTCTAATTAAAGCGTAAATATTATTCACTCAGGTGTAAAACCTCAACAGTTTCATACCTGCAACCGAAAAAATGCAATTACAACAAAGTAACAGTTAAAAATTGAAAATTTCGACTATTGTTAACCACAATTCCGAAAAGTTGACATTTTGCTTAAATGTGTCATTTTTTAGTGTGTTTTAGTCCAATTTTCAAAAATCTAGGGATTTTGGTGTTGACGGTTGTCAACCCGAAGTCACCCATGTTCGGAGAAAAATGATGCTTGGTTGCTAAAAATGGCAGGTGTTGTTAGTAACGATGTTTGGAAAAGTTGGGATAGATCCGGAAAAACAGAGTTGTAAGTGCACATTTAAATAAATTAATGTGGTATAGTTCATTTGCTCGAAATTTGCTTTCGTTTCATGTGTTATTACATGTGGAATACGCAAACACGAGTCAATGTCCACACTTTTATGTATTGTTGATTTTACACTTGTCCCTTTAATATAAGTAATAAAAACTGGACTCTCTGTTTATTTCAGTGTTAGAACATGTATGCAGTTATTAAAAGATGAGACAAAATCACCGGTTTTTGACGAAAATGGAGGAAAAGTTTCAAAGCTTATAACCAACATAAATATGTTGATTGACAAAGGACTAAAAGGGCAGTTAAAAGTAGAAACTGTTGTTTCAACACTCCAGGAACTTGTTGTAAGTTTGTTGTAATTAAAGTGACAGAAATCTTTATTGTGAGTTTTTTTTTGCAGTCTCTACATCCTGATGTACCTTCAGTAATATTAGATGTTTTAAGTATTACAGACTCTTCCTGCATACCAGATAACAGTAATGACGATTCAAAAGAAAGGAACAATTTGTGTTCCATTATTAAAGAATGCGAAAAGGTAAAGTATTTAGTCAAATACTTGGATGTGTTCTAATTTTTAGAAAATTCAGTTGCTTTCAGATCAATTGTTAAAGGAACGGTTAGAAATAGACACGTTACAAGAAGTGGGTATCTTGAAAAACAAGACGTTTTATTCAAAGTTCATTAAAGTGAAAACAAAATTATAGTAAGTATACTGCTGTCTTAGTACTGCACAATATACAGAAAAATTATTTTGGAGTACAAAATAGTTTTTCACTGTCGTGCTAGAGTAAGTGCATTAAGACTGTCTCAAACAGGTCAATATTTGAGATTTTGGATGATGCTAACAACTGTGTGATACAGTTTTTTATTGTTAAATGGCAATAGTTTGAAATTAGCATATTACCATGTCTAGAGTAAAAACTTTAGAACAGTAAGTGTTTTGACTTAATTAAAACACAACAGATTACAATGCAATTGTTCGTTGTTAAAGAAACGGTTTTGTTTTCTTTTTATTACATAATGTTAATGTGTTTGATATATGTATTGAAAATTGGAAACATATTGAGACCTACCAAATAACGGTGAATTCATAAAAACAAACGAGGCCACTTCAATTAATTTTCTTCTAAGCATTTTAAACGTCATATTATTTCACGAAATATTTAATTAATATTATTGCTAAGGATAAATTTTATTTTTTAGTTACAAACAACGCAAATTTAATTTATTTCGCGAGGAATGTGAAGGTTTTGCAAAATTGCAAACGGAATTAAATCAGGAGTTCGGCGAGAATACCAGTCATGAAGACGTTCTAGACATTGTTCAGTCGTTAATTGGTTGCTTCAACCTCGACCCTAATAGAGTCCTAGATATTATTTTAGAGAGTTTTGAAAATAAACCAAAAGACGCGCGAATCTTTGTTCCTCTAATATGTTCGTATATGAAAGACCCGAAAATCGTGAGTGAAGTTTTAGCATCGAAATTCACTTTTTTGAGAAGCAGTGAAGCTAATGTTCCACGATCTCTGTACATATTAACGGCGCAATTATTACAACATAATATTATATCACTGGACGATATTTATCTTTGGGTAATCAATTGATTTTTTAAGAGTTTAGCTCATGATAAATTTCTAGTTAACGCCTGAAGATAAAGTCATGTTTAAGGAGTGTGATAAAGCTATGAAAGATGCAAAAGAGTACGTCCGTAAGTTGCAAGTGATCTCTATAAATAACAAGGAAAAAGAAGAAACACCTGAAGAGCCCGAAAACCTCATGGAAAAATATAATGCAAATCAAAAGTTGGGTCTATGCGAAGCTTTACTTTTAGTGGGTGATTGGAACAACGCGAAGAATTTAATAAATCGCCTGCCTGAGCACTACGCACTATCATTCCAACCGATCGCGTTAGCACTTTGCAAATTGTTGCATTGCATTATTGAACCTGTTTACCGAGAGTAAGTTTAGAGAAGTTCTCCATTTAAGTTTCTACATTGGATTTTATAGATTCTGTAAGTTGGGACCAAAAATTAAAGGAAAACCTATCCCCCGTCATGAAAATCCTCTTAGCCCCAAACAAGCAACTTCATTCTTGGAGCTTAGAGATCATGCTATACCTATGTTGATTACTTTAGGAGCTTCGTTACGTTTTGATCCCGTTCTTATGTATAAAGTGATAAGAATTTCGAAAGCGGCGTTAAATTCCTATGGAGTTGAATCGTCAAAAGCGCCTTGTCCCTCTGGTGATACATTATATTACGATATTTTAACATTGTTGGATACGACAATACTGTCGTCACTTTCATACATGGATTGCAACTGTTGTATAGCAGAGGAAGTGTGGACGGTCCTCAAACTCTACCCATATCAGAATAGGTACTGTCTTTACAGCCGTTGGAAAAACGAGACGTATTCGCTATATCCCGACTTGTTACGAAAACGCGGAGACTCGGAAAAACAAATCAAAAATATTATGAAACGTGTCAGTAAAGAAAACATCAAGCCTGTGGGCCGCCTCATTGGCAAACTCACTCACTGTTCACCCGGATTTCTTTTCGATTATATTTTACTCCAAATTCAAGTTTATAGCAATTTGATCCATCCAGTCGTCGACTCGCTGAAATACCTGACAAGTTTGTCGTACGACGTTTTGGGTTTTTGTCTAGTTGAATGTTTAGCAAACGCCGATAAGAAAAGAGTGAAACATGATAGTACCTCGATTTCAACGTGGCTACAAAGCCTTTCGAGTTTTTGTGGCGCTGTTTATAAAAAATACATCATAGAATTGACTGGGCTTTTGCAATATGTGGCAAACCAACTTAAAGCACAAAAAAGGTATATTTTACTTCTATGTGTTTCGGTTGTGGATTAATGAATGGTTTTAGTTTGGATTTGCTAATTTTAAAAGAAATCGTTCAAAAAATGGCAGGCGTTGAAGCCGCCGAAGACTTGACGATGGAACAAGTGAATGCTATGGCTGGGGGCGAACTTTTGAAAGCTGAGGTAATGATGATTATTTTCTCAAATTGAAATTTTGACAATTTATGTTTAGGCTGGATATTTGAGTCAAGTTCGTAATACTAAGAAATCATCGCTTAGACTTAAAGAAGCAATGTCTGAACATAATCTCGCTGTAGCTTTATGTTTATTGATGGCTCAACAGAATTATTGTGTGGTCTATAGAGAAACACAGAAAAATCATTTGAAATTAGTTGGGAAATTAGCCGATCAGTGTCAAGACACTCTAGTACAGTTTGGAACTTTTCTGGGGTCTTCTCTTTCAGTTGATGAATATGTTAATAAGTTGCCAAGTATACAAAGCATGCTTTTGGATTATCATATTCCAAATGAAGTTGCGTTTTTTCTGGCGAGGCCTATGTTCAATCATGCCATAAATGTGAGTAGCCAGTTTAGTTTTCACCAGTTTTTGAGAAAATTTGCCTTCCTAGATAAAATACGACCAACTACGAAAATCAGACTCCAACTACAAGAAACTCTCGACGAACGTGAAAAACCAGAAATATTTTGAGGCCGTGAACGAAGTCATGGAACCCGTTCATAAATCCATTATTCCTCTTCATCCAACGAAAATCTGGGAGGACATTTCTCCTCAATTTTTATCGACCTTTTGGTCTTTGACCATGTATGACCTTTACGTACCTGATGAAACGTACCAACAAGTTATAAATAAGACCCGTCAACAATCTTTAACAACGATAGAATCGAGTAACAATAAAGGTAAAAAAGAACAAGAACGTTACTTGACCTTAGTCGAGAAACTACAAGACGAAAAGAAGAAACAACATGAACACGTGGAGAAAGTAATGTATAGGTTGAAACAAGAGAAGGATAGTTGGTTTTTGTCAAGATCGGCGAAATCGGCCAAAAATGAAACAATAACAAGGTTTTTGCAGTTGTGTTTGTTCCCCAGATGCACTTTTACATCTATTGATGCGGTGTATTGTGCAAAGTTTGTTCACGTGATTCATATGTTGAAGACACCGAATTTTTCGACACTTTTGTGCTATGACAGGGTAAGTGTGATATTTTTGTGTCGATTTGTTGGTTTATCTCGGTTTGTTTAGCTGTTTTGCGATGTTACTTATTCGATTACTTCGTGTACGGAGAATGAAGCAATGCGTTATGGCCGATTTCTCTACGCAATGCTCGAGACAGTGATGCGGTGGCACAAGTCGAAAGAGTTATTCGAAAAAGAATGTGCCAATTATCCAGGTTTTGTTACTAAATATCGTTTAAATAATCAACATGCCGACAATTTGGATAATGTCGGTTATGAGAATTACAGGCACGTTTGTCACAAATGGCACTATAAACTAGCAAAGGCTATGGTAACTTGCTTAGATTCGAAGGATTACGTACAAATCAGGAATTCGTTAATTATCTTAATTAAGATCATTCCATTTTTCCCTGTGTTACAAAAGGTCGGACAGTTTATCGAAAAACGGATAGAGAAAGTGCGAGACGAGGAAAAAAATAATAGACAAGATTTGTTTACTTTGTCCAGTAGTTATTTGGGGTTGTTGAAACAGAGGATTATGAGTGGGCATATGGTGAAAGAAAGCGATTTCCATATTTTGGTGGAGAAAGAAAAGGTAGGTATTCTAAAATCAACCAAATTATTGTCATCACATTGTAATTTTTAGATTGTTAAAAGTCATGAAACTAAGAGTGAGGCAAGTTCTAGTAAACATAACGGTGAAGTTAAAGGTATTTTTTGTGTTTTAATTTGTTTGAAACCACTCATTGTAATTATTTTAGAAGAAATGAAGGACAAAAGCGAGAAAAAAATTAAAGTGGAGGATCTTAAAGTCGTTTCAAGGATGTCTCAAGGATCTCAAGGCTCTGGCGATTATAACGCGTTAGTATTTTTATTTTCGTAGAAATTTTCCCATTTGAGTGCTTCTTTTTAATTAGGTGGGAACGACCCGAAAGGCCTTATAAAGAGGAACCCAGGGAGAAACACAGAAGGGAAGAAAAACGTGACGATTTTGAGAAAGAACGTGAAAGAGAAAAGCGTAGAGAACGTAAAGAAGAGAAATTAGCAAAACAGGAAGAACGACAATATCGAGTAATTTCTTTGAGTTTTTTGTTGTTCGAGGGTTATTTTGGGTGAATTGTAGGAGGAGCGCTATTCTGACATAAGTCCGAAAGATGAAATGCGATATTCAAGCGATAGACAAGTGGAAAGATATTATGACGAAAGAGGAAGTCACTACTACAGAGAAGTCCGCGACGAACGAGAAATCGGGTTGAGTGGTAGTAATAATGGGTCAAGCGGTATGGGAAGACATAGTCAAGAGCCCGAGACCGATAGAGGTATAATACTTGGCTTCATGTTAGGAATTTTGATTAATTTATTTTTGTATAGATGTTAAAAGAAGAAAAATGGATGGTTCTTCTTTGAAGGTTAGTATCGGAGTGACGTAACAACGATGCAGATTTCAGGGTTCGAATACCCTCTCTGGTATTTTCTTTGTCCGACACTGGGAGATTGGGCTGAACGTTTTCTCATAATCGTGCCGTTAAAGTGTTTTAAATCTGTCGCAAAAAAAGTGTTGTAGACTCGAGTGCTTTGTGTGTTCGAGAAACTTTTTGCTAATTTCGATGGTTGTCACCAAGTCCTGCACAAATTTTTGTTTTTCATCACCGGGTTCTTCTCACAATTGCCGTTTAAACAAATCAAATCACAATTGTCGTTAAATGAATGGGGGATTAGGCCGAAATTCAAATTGTCGTAACAACGTTATGTAAATAATTCCGAAGAAGTTTGTCGTTTAAATCGATTTCTAAAATCGCCGGAGTAATGTTGGAGTGATCTCGTCGATGAAGATCGGGAAATGTCATGAATTGGAATGGTTGAATTGTGAAGAAGAAGCAAGAATTTCGAATTTTTACAACGTGCGAAGGTGCATGAAGATTCATTTATGTAAGAGTGGCAAAAAGTGACACTTGTGTAAGGGACAGTCTGCAATCAGCCCAATCTTCCATTTTGTTAATAGTTTTGGGATGGGAAGCCAGTTACAGGTAGGTTCCGGATTAAATACGGCGTTTCTCTGGTGACGTGCAGCTCCTTTTATTGAATTACATTCTATAAATAATTTTATTTATATTGAAATTGCTTCCAAATTGGTTTTCTGTTTTGCAAAATTATTTTAGATTTGTTTCTGATATTGGTAATTATTTCTGTTTCGTAAGGTGCAAACTATGCATGTTTTTGTTGTTGTTAGACGAAATGTTTTGTTGAAATATTAAAGAGCTTGTATTGATTTAATAAGGAATTCTTTTAATGCATTCCTTAATTAGCAAATGGTTTTTATACATAAATATTTTTTATTGAGTCACCAAAACTACTGACGTATTTATTGTATTATTGTAAAGAATTTTTTTTATTATCTTAAGACGTCTATTTAATCACGTTTTTCTGTTATTTTGAAGCTTGCTGTTCCATATTCCTACTCCTTCATTTTAGAAATGTTAATAAAAATATTAAAAAATCCGTATTATGCCACTGGATGTTCTGAAACGAATCATTTCAAACGGTGAGGAAGAGAACTAAATACGACGTTTTTTAGTTTGTGCAGATAAAATTTTCATTCTTTATCCTGTGTTTTTAGTCTGATCTAAATTGATCAAAAGTTCAAATTACCCAGGAACTAAAAACTGTTGTTGTGCGTCATAGCACATGAAAAAAAATTGTCAAACAGTATAGGTGTCCGGAAAATCGCGCATCTCCGTGACACTGTATCATCGGACGATGCCCTAGACAACAAGACAAATGTTAAAAAAAAAACTATCTATAAAAATTTCGAAGTTATGAGAGTTTAAATCTTGCACTTTGACTATTTATTTCTGTTGGACATATAATTTTCCAATTTTTTTTGCTACAGGCTATTAGAAGAAGAAACAAGGAAGCGGTATCTTAAATTGTAACTCTGTTTAGTGTTTTTGTGGCTTTTATTGGCAAAATTTTTGTACTTTTGCTAAATAATTATAATAAAACATATGCAAGATTATCAGTATCATTAAATAGACATAAAAAATATGTCAAACGTTAAAAAATATATCTCAATATCAGAATCTTTTAAACATTTTTTCAGTACTGTGGGGGACTACCCAATTACTCCTTTTCAAGGAAGTGCGCGAATTACGGACAACTACATACTAGGAGACGAAACGAGATACAAAATTGCTTGATTTTTTGAACCCAAAAAAAGTAGTACGACGTTTTACCGTCTCAGTTTCAAATCGTTTTTAATTAATTTAAATTTAAACCATACCTCTATTTTTAATGGTTTAGGCCTCAAAGACGTTCAAAGCCGCTCAAGCGACGGATTCGTTTCATTTTTACTGGTGATTGAGTGCCGGGGGGGGGAACACTTTAAAGGAATTTAAACCTAAACCGTTGAAGATATGGTGTCGCGGCCTTTTTTTAGAAAATTTTATTCTCTACAGTTTTGTTTCTTACACTTTTTTGTATCTTTAACCATATTCGAAGCGTTCTTAAAACTATTAACTAGTAACGCAAACTGATAATTGTTTATAATTTATTTTTAATACTGTTTTCGATATTTTTGCGAATACGGTTGAAGATACAAAAAAAGTGTAATAAACAAAATTATAGAGAATTAAATTAGAGACCATATCTCGATCTTCAACCGTTTAGGTTTAAATTAATTTTCTGTCTCTTGACCACCGGTAAAAATGAGCCGTATTTGTCGCTTTTTTTTTGGAAATTTCATTCTCTACAACTTTCTTTTTTATATTTTTCTTGTATCTTTAACCGTATTCGTAGCATTTTCAAAAATATGAGACTGGGCGCAAATTGCTCAATGTTTGAAATTTTTTTTAATTTAGTTTTCAACAAAATTTTTGCATTACCTTTATCTCTTATTATTATGGAGAATTTAATGTTCTATCTGCCTTTATTTGCGTTTTGCTCACCGTTATGTAAATACAGCCATTTTTTTAAATTAAAACTTGAACGGGAAAGGAACAACTGCGCTATCTGGCCTCGCTAACGGAACTATCGAAAACGGGGACGTTTTGTTTTACATCGTGTCGTATCCTAGTCTTTAGGTATCCGTAGCGAAAATTTTGAGACACCTATATAATAAACATTTGAAGCATTTTAATGGTGTAAAATAGTCCATACTTACATACTTTTGTTTATAAAAGATTTTTGGTGTCACTAACTATTTAAATTTGTGAACTCTCGTTTTGACAAATCGAATTTTTTATGGTAATATCTATGCATCACAAACTTATTTTAGGAATATTTTTATTAAAAATGGTCGCTTTATTTTCTACTTTGCCATTAATAGTTATTTAAAAATAGACTTCCGTATGTTGTCATCATTTTGACCAAAGTTTGGCATTTTCCTTTGTTCTTTTCGCATTTTGCATTTGCAAAATTAAACTTGTACTTTTTTTAATTTTTAAATCTACATACTATCATTATTTCGTATTTTTGTTTTTCTGGTATTTACATTTTTTTATTTCGGTTTCTTCTGTTTTATAGTTCTTTTTATTTTAAACATGAATTCAATTATTTCTATTTCGTTTTTTTTTTTTTTAATTTGTGTTACGTATCCATTGTCTTCATTGAGAACCATGAAGGGGTCACAGGTTTCGGTATTTGATTACCTGCAATAAACTAATATTTTTTTCCTAATTACTGATCTCTGAAGCGTATGTATGTGCAATTTAAGAATGTTAGGGTCAGAAATGGAAAGGAGATTCAACCGAAATTTCTTGTAAATGACTCAACGGCTGGAAGAATCGAAAGAAAACGAAGAGAATTGGGAAGATGTTCTCGTAGTTGGGAAAATAAGTTAATTTATTGTAGCAAAATCTGAATGCTCTGAAACTGCGTGACTTTTTTGTGCAATAGAGACAGTGGAAGATGGAATTATTTAGACGAATGTAATTCAAGAAAAAACAAAATCCGATGCACGCTCAAATGCACCTAATGACCACTTACCTGTTATAAAACTATAGAGATTTAATTGGTGTTGTGCCAAAAAGCAAGTCGAGTTGACAGCTAGTACAAAGCAAGCGCCAGCGGAGGCTGCTATTGTGCAACACTGTCTCAACCCGCACGTCTAATGCAGTACCCCTGGTTGTCTGCAGAGTTCGAAACACGAAGAGAGGAAACTACAGCAACTCGATTACATGTTAGAGAAAACGGACAAAAAAGAACGGTCAGGCAAAGCGAAAGAAAAGAGGGAAAAATTAAGTGATGAAGAAAAAGAATTGAGAAAAGAAAGGAAGTTGGGAAGGAAAAGGGTAAACGAGAACGAATTTAAAGAGTTTTTTAATGAGATTCAAATTCGACAGGATCGAACCGAAGAAGCGCTCCAAGTTGAAATGAAGAGGCGAAGAGAGGAGGAAAAAGGTACGTTATTACTTCTTCTTTACAATTTATTTAATTTAGTTTTAATAGCAGCGAAAGTTTCACACCAAAATGGAGAAATCATGGAACCCGTCCACCAAAGAGAGAAACATCATCGCTCGAGAGTAATCAATATTTTTTATATTATATTTTTATTCATGTTTTTAATTCAGGACTTATCACCATATCCAAGAGAGAGGTCACACGATGATAGACTCGAAATGAGGGAAAAACAATATCCTTTTTATAGACAATTTTAACTCATTTTTCACTGTTACGTTTGTAATTTTCATTATTAAATTTCTTTATTTCTCTAATGTAGTTTTGCTATTTGTGGCTCATTTTTCATTTCATCGTCTTTTTTAAAGCTTTTTCCTTAATGAGGTTTACCAGAAGAAGTGCCGAAAATAAAAGGAGATGATAATTTTTACGAATGAACGTATTTAAATTTTATTTTTTAGTAATTTTAAGTGTATTTCACAGGATTGTACGTTACTGATGTGATTTGTAGAATATGAAAATAAACATGGTAATGTGGTATTTTATTGTAAATCCACCTTTGAATCCATTGTCCTTACTCCTAAATATAATAGAAATGAGGATGAGAGGAAAGAAACAAACTGGTTAAGGTTTTTTGTGAGGCACTTTATTTGATAAAAATATGAAAAAGTTGTACAATATTCGACTTCATTATAAATATATAAATCTATTAAGTACTATTTTGGCCCTGTTTGACTAGGATTAGGCACAGAATATTGGTTCACACTAAAAAATACAAAGCATAAAAATCACAATAATCATAAGATATCTTTGGTATAACAAAAAATTGGAGCAAATCGTAAGTCTTAAGTAAAGAACGAAATGAATACATTATTTTACATATCCTCCGTCATAACTCTCTTAATCTTACTCTTTTCCTGCTTCCTAGACTTGATTGGTTTCAAATCAGGAATATCACCTGGCACATGACACTTTCTTTGGTGCTTTTTAAGTAGAAAATTTCTGGTAAACGCGGAATCACAAAATTGGCATTTGAAAGGCCTTTCGCCCGTATGTATCAAAATATGGCGTTTTAAATCAGTTGGCCACCCAAATTTCTTCGAGCAGTATTTGCACTGGTACTTCCTGACTTTTTCAGGCTCTGTCTCTTCAACCATTGTAACCAAACAGAATTTAATTGGGTTGACATCTTCAATTCCTGAATCACTTTCAACGTCCGAATCGGGTTTTTTCTTAAAATTAATGGGGTAGAGATCTGGGAGTTTTTTCTGGGTCATTGACTTCTCTTTGTCCATTGAATTGATAAGGCAGTTGGAGGCGTGTAAAGCAAAATGTTGAAGCAATGAGGCAGCTGAATGAAATTCTGTTTTACATTCTGAACATACGAAATCTAAAAATACTTTTGAAATTAATCTAAATTTTTGAAGTGAAACAAACGTACCTTGTAAAGCCTGCATTACTGCACGGGATTGAGGTTAGGTCTAGGAGTAAATCACTGCATTTTTTAATTTAGAAATGACCAGTTTTTTGTAAAGACCATTTTTTTTCTTCTTTCTAGTTTCAGGCAGACATGTTTTTTGTGATTACCCATAAGACGTTTATACCGGAACATCCGTTACAAGGCAGTCGCCATATTGTTTTTCACTATTTAACAGCGACGAATAATTGCGATTTTTCACTGCAATAAATATTGTTTGAGAAAAAGTAAAACAAGAAGATTGCAAATTGATGGCGAAAGGTAAGTTTATTTACAAAATTTAAATACTGTTTCTCCTAGACTTAACTTGAACGTTTATTGTGAAAGTTAAATTTTTGAGATAAATCGCCATTATTGTTCAACGTTTTCAATACCAACCGTAAAATGCAAAAAATTGCTTTTCAACAAATCCATTTTTAACAAATCGACTGTCTTGCATAACATTTTAAGCAGAAGCCCACGCAAGGAACGAAAATTACTAATATTAATTAAATAAGAACGATTAAAATAAACATCGCGTTTATTTGTTTAAGAACCAGATTTGCAGCCCATATTTTCATAAACTAAAAGCGAAAAGCACAGTCTTGCGTTGAAATCATTAGCCATTATTTGAAAATACCAGTACACCAACTAACATTTTAATCATTTTACATAAAAAAAATCAAAAACTGAAAAAGTAGCATCGTAACAAAAAAGGCATTTTGAAACCTACTAATCAGATCACGTGGTGCTTAAGACGCCATTTAAAAATCATTATTTCCAAATTAGAATCCTGTAAAATAAAACACTTTCATTTTGGTCAGTTTGAGTTTGAAATATGGAATTTAAACGACATTTTCTCTTTAAAAATCCAAAACACGCTACTTTTTTACCAAAATTTCAAAATGTCAGCAAGCAACGACAACAACGCCCTCTGGTAAAGCTTCACTTAATCGATTCTTGGTTTCTCTTAATTTTTTTACATAAATCGATGCAGCAAAAATGATAAAGTTTGATCTGAAAATGTAACTAAGACGCTCTGTGTATTTATCTTAGTTTGTAGATAAAACGTCAAGGTCGTTGAGTAATTATTTGATATACGGTTACGTTTCGTTATTTTTCTTTGAATGCGCGGGACAGGAAACTAGGATTACGGATGGCGGCTTCCGCTTCAACATGTGATACAACCGCCATTTTGTTATGCTTACGAGAATAAAAAAATATCATTCTAGGGTAAAATGGGGTTATTATTTGATTTTCATTCGTATTATCAATGTAATTAGTGTTTATATTCGAGTTGCGTGATGTGTGTAACTAAGAACTAAGGTAGTCATTTGGAGTGAGGAAAAATGGCGGTGTTTAGAGTATAAAGTTTCGTCCATTTTAGAAACATCATCAGGTAAGTAGGCGAAATAGATTCTTTATCTAAAGTGATTATTTAAGTATCCAATGAAATTATTACGTTCACAAAAAGTATTTCATAAAAAATGTCATGTAGTAAAAAATTTAATAGTTTGCCTATTTGCAATGTGGATAATAATTATTAATCGATGTTTTCACGTTTTATAAAAATAAGTAAGAAAATAATTATAACATGGTCTAAAAATACTATTTTTTAAAGTAATTGGGTCAGTTAAATTAAATTCAATCTCAAAAGTGCCAGTCGTGTAAAAGGATAGGTAAAATGAATAAATGATGGCAGTTAAAATCAATAAACACGATAAGGGGGATTCATTTTCATTTTGTTTTTCAATTTTTATAAAGAGTGATTTGGCCTTTTTTGTACAAATAAAATGATTAATTGTAAAACTATTTTAACCGTTTTTTGACAATATGGAGTAGCTGTTAAAAATGTTAGGCAACACATTATACACGTGGCATTTGTAGTTTTTGCTGTGAAATTCTGATTAGATATACATAAATAGAAAGCATTCTTTGTTAATAAAGTGTACATCGATGGCTAAGCGTACAATTATTGTATGTCTATTTATAACTTAATATGAATTTGTTGAGGCTCCAAATTTTGCCATTAGCACAATTACTGTACGTTCAAGAAACCTAGTTCTTTTAAAATTTTTGTAACAAACATTGTATAAACAGTTTTGTACATTTTTTTTCTGCACAGTTATTGTACAGAGTTATTTACGAGAGATTATTTTACCGCAACCCATTATACATATTGCAACAATTTTGAAATTTGAAAATATAACTGAATCCACGATGACTATTATTAGTTTGTTAGTTTTTTCATTCTATGGTCTTGTCTCTTTGACATTCAAGCAAAAATCACCTCTCAAAAGTTACGACATGTTTTGTTATCGTTTACCAACCGATTTGGCGCAAGTTTAGATGCCGATGGTAGGCACTTTGAACACCTTTTACATTAACTTGTTAATTTATTTCTTGAATTTTGGTTAAATAGAATTAAAAGAAATAACATTTAATTTAGTAGTTACTGATATTGGTATTGTTGGTTGCGGAATAAAAAAAAAATCAGAAGTACCGCTCGCTCTCATAATAATGTATTTCTCATACAAATTTATTTTTATTGTCTGAGTACCTAGGAAGTATGTCCAAACATAATACAAAACCACTTTTAGAACCCAAATAAAACTTCTTAGAAGAACTTCAAATTGAAATCTTAGGTATTTTTTAATGAATTATTTTTGTTTGTTATCAAAATAAGTGGGTTTAGTTGAAAAAAGAAAAAAATATTTATTTTCTGTTTCATAATAGTTATTTATATACCAAGGGGCATAATTACAAGATTATTTTGGATTGCGTTTTGCTTCTCTCAAATAATAATTTAATATTTACGGTGAATTTGGTGTAAAAATCGAGATCGACTATTTTGTGTGTTATAAAAAAGGCCCAAAGGTCAATAAAAGCCAAATTATTGGGTGCTTAGTTTATAGTTTATAGTTTTAAAATACAACAATAGTAAATTATACATAAAGGGAGATTACGATTATTTCTGAGGTGCCGCTTAACCAAAGTACCAAAAGAATAATAACATTTTTCTTTAGGGTGCGCCAGAATTCGCGCCCCAGAGAAAAATGCCATATAAGGTAAGATCCAAGGAACATGGAAAAAATATTAAAAAAAATTTATCTATAAAAATTTCGGAGTTATGAGGGTTTAAATTTTGTACTTTGACTGTATTTATTTCTGTTGGAAAAATAATTTTCCAAGTTTTTTTGCTATAGGTTATTAAAAGAGGAAACAAGGAAGCTGTATCCTAAATTGTAACTCTGTTCAATGTTATTTGTGGCTTTTATTGGCAAAATTTTTGTACCTTTACTAAATAATTGTAAAAAAAAACATATTATACAAGATCATAAGTATCATTAAATACACATAAAAATTGCCAAATGTCAAATTTTTTTATAGATACAATTTTTTCTATGTTCCTGGTATCTAACCTTACTTGAAAATTTTCTCTGGGGCGCGAGTTCTGGCGCATCCTGTATACTATATTTTGCACGGTTTGAGTTAAAAAATACAAGAAATGTGTTGTACCTAATTTTTTAATAAAATTCAAAAATTAGCATAAAGCTAGCATTCTTTGAAATTACATGGTAACAATAAAAATGTTTGTTGATAATCAATCAATGAATGAAAATGACTTAGTAACGGAGCAAGTATTTGCTCCCGTCGTTATCCTCCGAAGAGAAAATTTTTCACAACCAGTATTCGTTATTTTTTGATATATTTTTTTTTTAAATCTTGCAATTCTATTTTATTACTTAAATATAAATATTGTATTGTCAAAACAAAATAAATACTTGTGTATATCATTACTTATTATTTCCGTAAACGTTTTAATTTTGTAATGTGTACCTACCTACCTGTGGGGCTATCTTTTGAGAAAAATTACAGTGCCAGCATATTGTAGTTACGGTAACAAGAATTTGCGGTAGTAATTTAGGGTAGCTGCAAGTAATGATTTTACCGCCATTATCGATTTGTATAGGTAACTTAAATTTAGATTTCTGTGATAATGACTATTGGACAAAACATCTTGTATTTTAATAAAATCAACAAAATACTGATTTTTTTTGGGTTTGAAGAAAGAAACTTAAGTAAAAGTAAATAACTACAAGTGTGTTTTTTTTCAGATTAACAGAAAATTAAAAATGGACGGTGACCTTATAGAAAAGCTCTTACAAACGTCGGGTTTATCATGTGAAGATTTGCTTGTTAAACTTCAGCAATATAAATTAATGCAATCGAGTAAATTGGAGAAGAAACAAGAGGAAAGCATAATTCATGAAGAAAACGTCCCTGAGGAACAGCAGTGCACTAGAAATACTGATAATTCTGTGATACTAGAAACCCAAAGTTGTACAGTAGATAGTAGTAGCAGTGCAAATGATTCTACAAATGATACACAAGTTGTTATTTCACTTAAAGAAAACATAAAAGAAATTGCACACAAACCAGTTGAAGAAAAGCTTTTAGCTGATTATCAAAATGATAACAGTTGTGACAGTTCTTTTGTCCAAAAGATAAAAGGAGCAGAAAGTTTTGAAGAATCTGCGGAAAAACGAGGTTTTAAGGACATCAAGAGTATCTCAGTTGTGGAAGATGAAAAAGAAAATGAATATGGTGAAGAAAGTGTTGAAAAACTTGTTGAAAAAAAATATGAAGCAAATGATCAGAATAATGACAGTTGCAATGTCTCAGTTGTGGAAGGTGAAAAAAAAAATGAATGTAGCGAGGAAAGTGTTGGAAAACTTATTGAAGAGAAACATGAAACAAGTGAACAGAATAATGACACTGATAAAAGTACAGTTTTACAGAATCTGAGCAAAGTGGAAAGCAATGAAGAAATTGTTGTAAAATCATTGGAAGTAGAACCCGAGACGGATGATATGGATAAAACGAGTTGCAGTAAGGAAATGAGTGAAGAAATTATGGAAAATCAAGTTGAAGAAGAAACAATTAGAGAAAACATTGTAGAGAGACTACTTCGAAAAACATCAGCAACGAGTCGTAAAGATAATTGTGAGGAAATTGGGAAGAAACCAGTTGATGAGGGTTCGAAAACAGATAAAGGTGCTAACGAAAAAATTTCTGAAAATACATGTAAAGATGACACTAAAATGTTTAGTGAAGATTCGTCCAACAGTGCTGACATACATAATTATAGTGATTTCATAAACAGTTTAGAAGAAGAAGATTCAGCTTCTTGTGCAAGTGTATTATCCAAATCAACCTTGGATACTTCTGAAACTGTTACCAGTGTTCAACCAGAAATGTCTGTTTCTGAAGTACTACCAACATCAGAAGAACAGTTAAGAGATGTATTGAAAATGCAGCTTTCTTCGTTACGTAATATGAAAAAAAGTAGTGGTTATCTTCCAGATTTTAATAGGAGATCAATATTTTTTCATAATTTGAAAAAGAAACGAAAATCTTGCGATGTAAAAACCATTAAACCAGTTACAGAAACCGAAAATAATGAAGAAGAGGGAAAGAAACATGAAGAAAATAGTAATAAAGTCGATACAATTAATGATGATTCTTTAGTGTCGTTGTCAGATCAGACAGATTTTGTTATAGTTGATGTTACAGGAGGAATTGACAGGTTAACCCCGGAAATAAATGAAACAGGAAATAAAGAAGACATTGAAGAAAGATGCTTTGCTGCTGTTAGTAGCAATGGTAATGAAGATGTGCCAATTGAAAGTAGTAAAGATATGTCTGAGCTAACTAATGTAAATAATATTGAAGATGCGACGAAGAATTACTCGCCAAGTAAAGAAATTAGAAATCTTCTTACAAATTATAGAAGAAAAATGTCTTTGAACTATTTTGACGCTAATTTTTCAACACTAAAAGGTCAAGATAAATTCAAGACGATTGTGAAAGGTCAAGATCAACATCAAAACTTATCAACAGAAGATATTAATCCACATCAAATTCAGGGCAAACTAGTGCAAATTTCTGTGAAGAAAAACATTTCAGAAAATTTTGATGAAGATCCTGGAATAAATAAATCTGTTAAAAATAACGAAAAGTCTCCATTTGTGAGCGACTCTTTAGAAGATTTTTTAAACGAAAGTTCCCAGTTGAAAATAAGTTACTCAATCCCAAAATTAGGAGCTGAAGAAGGAATCAATGAAAGTACAAAAGAAATCAGTCCTTTTGATAGTATGGTTAAAGTGCAGAAAATAGAACCAGTTATTGAAAAAGAAACACCACAAAGAGAACCAAAATTGATTAAAGCAAAAACGTTGGCTGATATGAGGAGACAATTTGAGAAATTAAATGCTAAAGAAGCTAAGAAAAGAGAAAAGGAAACGAAGAGTGAAAGTCCAAAAATATCTTCATACCGAAATAGTCATATTATTTATAATAATAAGAAATTATGGGTGACTACTAAAACTAACACTAGTTGCGCGGGTGTGATCAACTCATCAGATGGAAAAGATCATTTGTCAGCTGTAAGTAACAAAAAACCATCACTTCTGTCAACATTGCATCAACGAAAAAGGCGGAGTGTTAGTTATAAGCCCGGACCTCTTTCTAAAAAATTTAAGTTACAAGATACGTATAGTCGCGATAAGTGGACAACTGAACTGAAAGTTTTACCCAAAATTTACTTAGAGGTGACTCCCGAGTTTAAAAAAGCGATTGATCCAGAAGTAGTTCATTTGATGCCAATTTTTGATGATTGTGTTATAACCGAAGAAAGAACGAATTTTGCTTTGACCGCTTTGAAGCTGGACGACGAACCAAAGTCGTACACTTTCCCAATTTCCTACAAAAACAATCAAACGCAGATAACTGTGCGAAAGCGAGTAGAACCAATTTTGACCAATTCAGAGGTTGGTGATTCTGATCCAGAGAAAGTTATAGCAAGTGTGCTTAGCGATCTTATTAGTTATGTTGAAGTTAAGGAAATTGAAGACACTTTAATAAAAGATGACGATATTGTTTTGGAAGATCCAGAACCGATTACTGAGGTAACACCTAAATCTAGAGGTCGCAGAATTAAGCGTAATAAAGTAGACTTGGAACTTCTTCGACTTAGCTGTAAAGTCATTGATGTTGCAACTAATGAAACCGAAAACAAACCATGTTCCAAATCTTTTTGTAAAATGGGATGTGTTTGCAGGAGTTTACTTTGTGAAAGTGTTTTTTCCGATCATTGTCAATTGGTTGATTGTATGTTTGGATGCAAATGTCCTCCTACTACTAGTGATACTTCAAGTAATTCATTACCTGCTCACACTGTTAACCACTTGGAAGATAAAGCTAAGAAAAATTTAGCGAAAGTAGAGCGAGAATTTACCCAAACTGTAATCCACACTGACAATGATACGATTCTTGTTGGAACAGGAAAAGTGAGGAGATGCACCAAAACACCAAAGAAGTACACCGATTATATTGGCGATGTGGACGATATTGTTATAAAACCTGCAATTGACGTCGAAACCAAGAAGCCACTGAGAGTTAAAAACTGTTCAGTAGTTTTGGAACGGTTGAATTTGGGGAATATTAAACCCCTTTGTCTCTATCACAGACTGTACGATTGTGATAGATGTGCTAGTAGGTTACCATATGTGGACAAACCATACTGTTTTCGTCATAGGATTTTCAACTGTTCCTGTAACAAAGACCGCGAAGTGAAACAACCTAACTACAAGATCATAAATCAGAAGCCGGCTGAAAGTTGCGCAAGAATCCGTAGAGTTTTTTCCCAATATAAAGAACGGAATAAAGATCCTTTATACAATGCAAAATTGCGAAGGAAGAATCAACAAAAATTTCGACCTGATCTTGAACAAATTATAAAAGACGCCATTAAAGTGACTAGCGAACCAAAACAATATGAAGGCAAAAAGCCAAGTAAGCGGAAACAATCTTTTGTTGTTCGTGAAGACGAGCCAGTCCTTTATCCAAGAAAAGAGACATTTAGTCCTAAAGTCTCGCCCTGTCTAGATAATCAAGTTGACAAAGATAGAGAGATGCAAATTGTTTCTCCAGGTAACGAATTTCAAATCCGTCGTCCTGATAAAGAATTTGCTCTTCAGCGGAGGAAGAAAAAGAAGTTTGTAATAGACACACATTTTCAAAAAGCTTCAGCCGATTATGGAATTTTTGACGGAGAAATAAAACTTTCTCTTAAAGAAAACCAAAACATGTTACCTTTTGTTCACAACCAAGCTTCCTTGGAATACCTTCGAATTTTGCCATGGACAAATTTAATTAAAAATTTTCAAGACCGAAAAATGTTAATTTGGGCAAAAGAAAATGGAGCAACGATTCTATGCAACGCTGTTGGATATCTCCCACCGAAGAATTTTGTCAACATAAGAAGATTAAAAAATAAATCGGAATTTATTACTTGGATTGTAACAAATCATTTGCCGAATCACATACCTCGTAATCTTATGCATGTCATATTATCACCAAGAAAGAATCACTACATGATTTCCGGTTATTGTTTAAAGAAAGCTGAAGACATTAATGCCACTAGTGTTAATTTAAATTTAGAAAATAGTCAAATACCAAAACTTGAGACAGCACAACCTTCTACCAGTTTTGAAAATCTTTTAACAAATGTAGAAAGCCGCGAAACAACTACTAGTAAAACGGACGACATTACTCTAAATTCACTTCTGAAGGATCACAGCACATTTAAATTTTCGAGATTGTATAAATCAGTCTTACTTAAACCAAAACCATCACCGGAAAAAAGGCCAAATTCTGTGGTACTTGAGAACAAGAATTCTGGAATAGTAAAACTCAAAACATCAACTACATCAATAAAACCTGTATCGGGGGGTGCAATAGAAGTGAATGTGCTTCCACTTCCAAAGTGTCCCTCACAGAGAGATTCTGAGACAATTGAAATTGATTGTGGGTCAAATCCAGAAGCTCAGGATAATTCTCAAGATGGCTTTGTAAGACAAACTAGTGATACGTACGAATTAGATGAAGTCACTTCTCAAGTAAAGGAAACTTCACAATTACCAAACAAGTTGTCTGAAAATACGAATTCAAGTAGTACACATGCTCTTCTTCCGGAGAGAACTTTGAAATGTACTCATAAAGATATGCACAATCACAAGAAGACTATTGTTTTAACCCACAAAGAGTTAGTGAAACGTCGGGTTTACTTAGAAAATGATGCTTTAGGAAGTGAAATGGTTCTGCCACTACCAAGAGTACAAAAGAGTTGTCGATGGAGAATGATCTATCTTAATTCGGATTTCAGTTACCTCAATTTTACCAAATCAAACTACTCGATAAAATATACAGATTTGTTAGATGTTGTAAAAATGGCAAGTACAGTTGGATCAACTATAATTCTTCGCAATCAGGAAATACGTCAGTTTTACAAAAATTTCATGTTTGGGATATTTTGCGTACCGGACTACCAGGATCGTATCTTTGTCGGTCCCTATTTCCAGTCGGAGAAACATAATATCGAAACTTTGAGATATTTGCAAGGAAAATTGATAGACACTGAGACTTTCAATAAAATAATTGGGAAGAAAGTTAACGAAAAAGGTCCAGTGTGGGTTTATGAAGTGCTATGTCCTAACAGCTTACCGGACGGCCTTGTGATTGATATAACTGAAGATGATGAAGTTCCTATGACCAATGAGGGCGTTGACGTTTTATTAGAACCTTTATCCAACAGTTTATTTTGCCCTCCATTTGTTAAAGAATTAAATGAAGAAGAGTTAAAGTTGAAACACAGTTTTAATAGATATATCATTACTAATATCCCTTATTTGGGATATTTCGGTGCTTGCCAACGTGACAGCAAAGAAATTGAAGTCTTCTGGCCCAACAATACAAGAGGTTATAGGTTTCCAAATGTGACTCTTGCGAAAAATTTGTTAATACAGTAAGCAGATTTTTGAAAATTTATAATATTTACTTACAATGTTTCGTTGTAGCTACTTGTCCCAGATTTTCTGCCCTATTCCTCAGTCTTTCAAAATCAACGTTATAATAATGACTCATCTAGATCTAAAGACGAACACACCAGTCAACTCTAGATATTTGACTGAACCTGGACCTTTTGTAAGTTTACAATTAGAAAAAAAAATTGTTTTATCTTTAAAATAGTTTTGTGGTGAGTTTGGCATCTACGACAAAGGAAATGTGCCCGAAGACTTACTTCAAGAGTGTAACGTGCCATCACTTGACTCACTATTAAAAACTTACAAAAAATTTCTAGAAGATGATGAATCGATTATTAAATTGTTTGGTTTGTTTCTAATGTCGAATGAAGAGTTGCGGAAATTCCCAGAGCCTCAACAAATCTTACAGTGGGTACGTATTTTGTTGCTCTAACTTCTGTTATGTTTTTTTATTTGTGATTTAGGCGAGTTCTGAGATTTATGTCCAAAAGAAACTTTCTGATAATTATGACTCGGAAAAAAATGATTTGAAAAGTATGATTCGTAAAAAAATGGAATATATAAAGGGGTTGCGTAAAGAAATAAGAGATAGTCAAACGAGCAGTAAGGTGTCAGAAACTATAGAGATTCCAGATTCTGATGATGAAGATAAGCAGCAAACTCAAAGTGAAGTAAAAAATACGAGTAAAGTAATTGGTTATGAAATGGCAATGAAAAAAACTTTATTAAGCAAACCCAAAAGTCTCCTATTGAAAAGGAAAGTTGTGGTACCTGCTCAATCAGTACTCAAAAAGAATGACCAAGAGAAAGACACCAAACTGTCGCCAGTAAAAAATGTCATAATGCCAGTTGTTGTGGATAATTTTTTTTAATATTGTTACTTCTTGTAACGGAAGACTGGAATTGAACTTTTGTAATTCAAGTAATGTTAATTTTGTGTATATATTATTTCCACTGTGTTTATTTTGTAACGTGGGAAGACCCCGCAATAATGTGATTATTAATGTTATAGTTTCATTGAATAAATTTGTTTACGAGCAAATTGTAGTTTTACTAGCCCTTACAAAAATTGACCGATAATTAAAAGTGAATTAAGCGAGATGATGAAGCATGTGGAGGAATTCATGTATGACTAAAGGGGTGACTAGTTGGGGTAAATTGGTCATGTGTGTGATTCAGTCTATTAGATGCTTCAAAAGACGGGTGCAAGAATTCAAAATTTCAAAAAAAAAAAAGAATTTGGATGATTTTGATTTAGACTTGAGGTGAAATTCGTTCAAACGTGCCATAGAAACACCAATTTCATGATAAAATACAAACAACATTTTTTCTACAGCAGACAAAAAGAAAAGAATACAACAGTAGTAGTTTATTATTATTATTTTTAAAATCGAAAGGAAATATTATCTGTTACCCTTATTATTCCAAGTTGCCTGATTTAGTTGGGTTCATAAGAGAAGTATTATGGTTTTGATAACAAATAATAATTTGAGTTTTTTTTTACGTAGAATTTAATAATGTAGTTAACAATTTTTTTCAGTTTATTGTTTATCCGTAATAAAATAAACTTGTATTTTTTTTAAATGGGAATCATAGATGGCTATGTCATTTTTAAAAAGCTTGTTTTTTCCTAATCTAAAAAATATATACGTATTTGTAACAAATTATTATAATACAATTTTAGCAAAAGTTATCTTTGATTTTTGTTCGCAGTTGGCCATGAAAAAATGTTGCATCTTCAACTAAAAGGATTTAAACAATATTATTCAACCAGAGTCACTAATAGAAGAGTTTTCTAAGTACTAAGTAATAAAAAAAATGCAAAATAAATCATAAATCAACTTATTGGCGACTAATAACATTTCTTTGTTTTTAAACAAACTAACATTACCTTTGTAACTTGTAGTGATACATAGAGCTTTAATTCTTCAATAAAATATATTTTATATGACACAAAAATGACGATTGGCTATTCAAATACCCATATTCCGTCTATGTGGAACATTATCCTACCTCCATTAGATAACCAAAAAATGTTTTTTCTAATTGATTTTTTTTTGGATTTTTAAAAAATATGTAATATAATTTTGTTCTGAGATGCTCACATATTTGTTCAATACTTCTAACATTCGTATTTTTTAAATTTTATGATTTTTTCATCTATTTTACAGCTCACAAAACTCTTATTGATTATTATTTACACATTTGGAGTGAAATAGTTTTTCCATGGCCAACTATTATCAAACAAAATATGTATTTCTTTTTTTTAGTATAATTATAAAAAAATATTCTGTTACAAATATATATTTTTAGATCAGAAAAAAATAAGCTTTTCTAAATTGCCATAGCCGCCTATGATTTCCATTTAAAAAAAATATGTTTATCTTATCACGGCTAAACCAATAACTGAAAAAAATTGTTAACTACATTATTAAATTCCTCGTAAAAAAGTGCCTGTATAATGTCTTTATTTCAAATCTGTATCTTCTATAATAACGAAGGTATGATTTTTTTTAGATTACCCCAAAATGTCAACTTTTGTCTGTAAGTCGAAAACAAAAGACGATAGCGTGATGCGGTTTTAACCAATATTATTTTCTCAAAAAATGAGCCCCAGAATGTATCATTCGTTTTTGGCTAAACATCTTAGTTTCGGAGATTCCCTATTCGGCCATCCAAAATGCAGCAGCCTGTACATTTTTTTAACATACTTTATTGAAAGAGAGAAGTGAGTGCTGTAATAGCATTGTTTTAGAGTCTGGACGCAAAGCAAAAAATTTTGAAGTTTGAATATTTGCTCTGTGATGTAGACTTCAACATTCTTCCTTTTCACCTGGTGTCAATATTGATTTTTCTTGACACTTATTGTTCATTGAAAGATACAAAAAGGGAATTTGGATGATCGAAGCGATTATTAAAAATTGTAGCAGATGTTCCTCAGATTAAACACAGGTAGACCTCGAAACTGGAAGTGCAGGTCCTTTCCTGTCCACCGCCCAGGTGTCACACTCCCTAAGCGCGCTTGCGCCTTCCCCCCACGTGCACCATCACAACAATAATTAATTTTTCTTCGCCGCCGCGGCCACCAGTTGCGAAAGAACTGCCGAAGGTGGAGGAGTAGTTGAACGTTCAATCGCGCACAAATCACGTGAAGTGTAGTGTCATGGATCTCGCTTGTACGGAAAAGATCACTGCCCCCACGTATGCCCCGAAAGACCCCAACATCTTCAACGATTTTCGTGTCATGAAACATTTATTGAGCGATGAAGTGTTGTACACACCTCATACGAATTATTTTCAACATGTTCAAACTGACATCCAGCCGTTTATGCGGAAAGTTGTAGCTACATGGATGCTAGAGGTAAAGTGAGACATGGCAGATTTTTACGAGGGGTAATTTGGTCGTTTCAGGTATGTGAAGAACAAATGTGTGAAGACCAGATTTTGCCTTTAGCGGTCAATTTGATGGACCGCTTTCTCTGTGTGTGCGTTATCAAAAGGCAGCAGTTGCAACTCCTGGGGGCAACTTGTCTTCTCATCGCCAGCAAAGTCAGGAGTACGAATATTTTGCCCATTGATTTGCTTTGTGCATACACCGATTATAGTGTCACAAGCGAAATGTTGGTGGTAAGTCAGAAATTTGTTTATAACTTTTGATATTACAAAATCGTCGTGCGTTAAAATATTCTTCCTTTCCGACACCATCTAACAGAAGTGTCTTTGTTGACACGAGTTGGAAGACATAATTATAAATAACATTCCATTATTCAATGAATGCATTATCGAAAAAAATAGCGAAATTAGTATTTTTACACCCGGAAATAGGCTTTGTTTGTGTAATAAATTATTCAATGAGAGTTGACATTTGTATCTTTTGACTCTTAGATAAGTTTAATATTGCATATGTGGACCATTTCACATTCCGTGGAATTCTTTTCGTTGCCTCGTGTCAGGAAACCATCCATTGATCAAAGAAATGCCGCTTCATACAACTCGTAAAATCGAATTAAATGTTTTATTAAAAAAACGAGAATTCTTATAATCTTTTTTTATATTCGTTGAAATAAGAACGTTTTAAGTGTACGAGCAGGATGTTATTGGATAATTTGTCTGGGCATATACAGGTGTCTGGAAAAAACGTTGAAAGATTTCGGAGGTTAGTTCTCTAGGTCAAAATAAGAGAAAAAGTTTTTATAAATGAAGTTGAAAGATTAAATTATTACTGTAGCTTCCTTAGTAAGCATTTCCGGACGTAGGTCTATTAAAACTTTTTCTTATTTTGACCTAAGGAAAGCACTAATATTATTGCAGAAATAATTGATATTGACGATATTAATTAACCGAAAAGGTCTTCGCTGAGACATATTGTATATTTTTTTTTTTAATTTGGGAAGTATATCTAAAATATTTAGATACCAGATTGTTCAATTTTTTAACACGCTTTTGAACTTGTTTTAATTCGAGACTTCATTTTGAATTAATTAAATAACTTGAAGTCTAACTCCGACATACTTTTTATTGGTGTTAAATTCGCAAAACGTTTTGAAACTCATAGAATCATCTTCATTGCTAAATGAAAAACATTTTGGCGAAAGAAATTTAACATTTGAATTAAAAAAAATGAAATTTTTGTTACAAGTACTTACCTAAAATACAGTTTTTGTTGACGAATCGTTGCTGTTTCCGGAGGAGGTGAAACCGAGTCTGGACTAGTAGCAAATGAGTCCGCAAAAACGTTGTAGGTACGTGTTACAAACAATATTTTTTGTTAAAGCTCCCAAAAAACGATTTCACACCTTTTATTAATTAAAAAAAATTTGCACAGTAACCAAATTGACTTTTTTCGACGGAAAACCCGTTTTTGGGAACTGAGTACCCTGAAATAATCATTTTACGTACTATTTTATTAAATCTGGAAAAGACTATTCTTAAAAAACATTGTTAATAAGTAGACACGTGACACCCGCTGCGGCATTGTCTTTATAAAATGTTACTTTTTCAAATTTTTTTTTAACAATTTTTTTTGATCAAGCACTTTGAAAGTGACTTTGAGTAGTTTTATTTCTCTTCGTTAAATCCACTAATTCATTTTGAAATGAATTTTTTGAGAACTTATTATTATCTATTGAAAAATTCATACTTTTTTAAATACAGGGTGATTCTTAAATAGACCGACAAAATTTTATCACAGCTTCCTAAGGATAAATGGAGACAAACTGTACCCTTTTTACGTTTATACCTTTTAGGGTAAAACCCCCTTGATCCGTGCCACTTACAGCGTTTATGAATTGTTGCAATGATCAAGTACATTAATACCAGGGTTTCCACTACCTGTGCTAACACATCACTGGCATACGCTTTACTTCGAAAATAACTCTAATAAATTTTATTTGAAGAACGTTTAAACAAGGAATTTTTTAAATATTTTTCCAGCATATTCTCATTTGATAATACCAAGAATAAAATTTTGTCGGTCTATTTAAAAATCACTCTGTATTATCTGTAGTAGTTTAGCCATTCTATACTTCGTCGAATAAAAACTTGCAAATAACATATTTTTATTTAATCACGCAATTTATTTGTGGTTAAAATAATTCTCCTTTGAAAAGAACGAGCAGAGCATCAAGCAACCTGTTTCGATTATTATCTTGCTAAATAACTTCTGTCGCACTACCGCTTCGTGCTTTTGAAACATCCGTCATTTTCCATTTCCTTTTCACCAAATCACCACCATACATCTGAGGATATAAGAAATTTCTTGTTGATACTAAGACAATACTGCATACATCCGGACCCATTATCTACTCATCTCTCTTCGAAGACCATCGCCTGCCTCGAGCGCTCCATTGTCCGGTTATTACTTTGATTGTCGCTTCCGTAAACTGCGACGAAATTCCGACCGCAAATTGGTCGGCTAGGTGCAAGCAATAAGTTGGGGTGTGCAACCACCCTGAATCCTGTAGGTTAAGATGATATCCTCGACTAGTTTCACGCTCTCGAATCCTTTTTTACACTCGCTTTAATCGGAAGCTGGATGGGAAGAACCCGAACCTTTATTTACAGTTCCGGTCCTTTCTGGGACCCTTGTCTGTCCCCTTCGACTGGTTATTATTAACTTGTCCAAAACGGCCCAGATTGGAATATATCACAAAAGGTGCGCTTTCTCACACGGGAACCATGGGGTGCAATAACAAGTGACCTTTATGACCGTTAATAAAATTATTAGCTCATCGCGTGTAGTCATGCGTGAACAAGACGTGTCGTTAGTATTTCTTG